CAATGAATTTCTGTTATTGTGATGAATTTGCATGGAAAAAAACTATTTGGAATTTGTTGCACGTAATGATGAAGATCTATTTAAACCAATGTACAAAGAAGAGTCGAACCAGTCTATATTTCTTTAAGCACCAAGTGACTTCAAGTGCGCAACGATGTCGTCTTGGCGTGTAATATTCATTTTGTTCGGCATCTTGGAACCCATGTTTGCTATTGATTCACAAGCAAACACTGGAATCACTACAATTCAAATGTAAAGCATCTTCATCTTGAATATTTTCACCTTCATTTTGACTTGAGGATTTGTTTTCTCATGAAAAATACTTTTCAGAATACACAAAGAAGTACCTCAAAGTTTCAAAATTTTTGGCCCCTCTTCTTCTACATTAAGTAATGTCGCTACGATGACTCCAACCAATTCGATTACTTCAGATACATCCCGCATACTCACTTACACAGATCCACTGGTCCCAAAAAAAAATTCAAAGGAAGGATCTGCAGTGCCGCATGCAACTTCGGTCGCTTCAGCCGCTTCATCGACTGAGTCAGCCGGCTTCACTGGAAACAGGTTGAAAACATTTTTTTGTGTAAAAAAAACTGCATAAAAATATAATTTTGAGTTCAGGTCAAATTCAACTTTTGACTCATTAGAAGACGACTCATTTGCAGACGACCATGTGTCAAACTCAATGTCATCCCTTAGTATGAGGTAGAAAAAATTGCCTATTCATTTTTCCAGATATAATTGAAACGATAGAATTAATTGTATAAATTGAAAATATATGATAAGTGGTATTGGAGCATTGGGAAGTCTTGGTGGTAGTGCAGCTAAAATTGCTGTCGATGGAGCACAGGCATTAGGGAGTGGTGAAAGTCTTCAAATTAACATTTCTCGAGAGTAAGTTTTGATATGAAACACATTTACGAAAAAAGGGAATCAAACCGTATTTTAGTTCCGAAGATGCGTTCAACATTAATTATGGAGGCAATCATAACGGAGGTAGTTCTAGTATGACTCACGGGAAAATCACGAACAAATCTGGAAAAATAAGGAATACTTCCCACGCTGGAACTAGCAAAAGAGTTCCAACAAATCACAATAGAAACGCTCTAAAAACTAGACAAACCACAAAGGCTCACCATCACAAATCAACCGTAAAAACCAACCGTAAAACTGCAAAAAACCGAAAAAGTAAAGTTACGAATGGAATGGGCTTAAAAAGTCACTATACATTAAACCGCTCTAGAACACACCACGGTGTAGCGACTCATAGTAACACACACGCGAAAGCTTCGATGACGAAACACCATCCACAAAGCAAGCAAACCAAAACGACTAAAAGCACTTACGACAGTATTAATAAAGGAAGCCAGAGAACTGACACTCTGCTGACCATAGGGGAACGGTAATGTAATCAATTTTCTTATAAAGGGTATAATTGCTACTTATCACATCTTTTTCAGGTCCGATGATGTTATACAAACTCAACATAAAAACATCATAAAAATTACCGTCGAATAAAATGTATCTGTGTATCTGCGTATCTACCGCATCACTTTGTAAAATTTGCATTAAAATATTCATTTTCAATAAGAATTCTTTGATGAAATTGTCCTGCAGTGCACAGTCACTGTGCCACACTGTAATTTATATTAGTCATGTCGAAAAAAATAGAAATGGAAAAAAGTTCAAAGCTGAAACATTGTGTTATGATTTCAAGTGTCTGAAATATGATGTATACTCTAAATGGCATGTATGAACACACGTGTGCAAGGGGGGGTATTCCGGTTTTACCCCCCCTAGGATTCCAAAATGTGGACCCCCCCAAGCGATTTGGAAATTTTACACTAGATAGAATCGATTTTCAAAAGTGAGGACCTTTTTTTTTTTTAGGTCTTCATTTTTGTGTGACACCCATTTATAAATTTGCAGACCCCCCCTGGCAAAATCATTTTAACCCCCCCCCCTAGAATTTTTGACCTTGCACACGTCTGTGTATGAATAGTCCTGAAGAAAATGGCTTTTGTTACGATCGTTTGACGTAAACGTCTTGTCTACATAATTAACGATATTAAATTCAACCGGAACACATGGTTGAGCGGGAAAGAAGTACTGTAGAACGAAAAAATGCAATTAAAAATTAAAGTAAATCGTTAACAACGGCGAGGCATGCATCAGAAGTAATGAAAAGACGTAATATCCCAAAATTTTATTAAAAATGTTTTATGGTCTGAAAACATCTCCAAATTCCATTGATTTCATTTATTATTGAATTCATTACTAATAACTAGAAATTCCATTTTATGTTTAATTGTCTGGCATTCTGATGCGAGATGCCTTGATGACGAACGTTTCCGTAAATATGTTGCAGATATAAAAGAAGAAACTCTCCAGCTGAAATCAGTTATTAGAAGCACCGAGAAGAAGATCATAACCACTTTGAAAAATAAAAAGAATTACATTCGCAATCCCAAACTTTTCCGTACCGTTGCCCGTATTTTTGGATTTATTTTAAATATTCTTGAAAAATCGGTAAATTTAGTCAAATCTTCGACAATTTTGTTCGGGTAAATCGATTCCTATTGAATTCAAACTTTCTAAGGTTTCATTTTTTACAGAAAAAATACGATTTTTTAGGAATTTGTCCCTTGACACGGTGTGTACGGAAAAGTAAAAAATGAGACATTATTTGGCTGTTGTGTTTATTTTGGTGGGAGTTTTACATTTGACTACAGCTAATCCCAAGAATTGGATTACTAAGGGAGCTAAAATGGCGATGAGAAGGTGAATTTATTCAAATGAAACTTGAACGTTAAAAAAAGAATGAAAAACGGCTCCCGATTTTGGAATAAAAATTTGTTTTTCAGTCCTATCGTTGCTCAAGTTCCTGGTGCCCAAATCGGTATAGGTGGTGCAACAGCGTAAGTGAATCACGATGTTTTCATCAGTCCTGGATGTTCCAATGACTTATTCCCTTAACATACAGTGCATTGTTAGCAGCGAAAAAATTCAAAGAGACTGGGGATTATAAGAAGGCAATGAGCGCTGGCGGTGAATCTATCCTAGAAAGGTAGAATGCATCCAAGTTTTTTTTTGTATACTTGCAAAAATTCAACTGAAGCATCATTTCTTATTCAGCGCTAATGACATGGCCGACAGTAATCCTACACTTGGTTTGCTCAGATCTGGGTCGAAAGTTGCTATGAATGTGAGCTCGGGTAAAAAAGGTTTATCAGCAGCACTTAAAGATGGGTATGAAATCAAATCACTTTTATATCAATGAAATTATCATACACACGCACGATGGAAGTGATGGCGGTCTTAGGCCGCGAGAAAATGTCGCATCGTTTGAAAGTGCAACCGACCGCATTTATGTCCCTAATGAAATCATAAGAATTCTTAGTGAAATAAACGAGCAAGGAATATATCGTTTTTCAATTGTTTCATCCATTTAGTGCCAATGAACTAGTCGAATCCAATCAAACATTCCAGACGGTTAAAGCCGGGACCAATCTAGCAAAAGACTTGAGCCAGAATGGTATCAAAACGACAGTTTCGGAACAGCAAGTCAATTGATAGAATCGCTTTAATTTCAAATAAATATAAAGAAGCGATAAGATCTTCTATGTAATTTTTGCCTAAAATGATGTTGTAGTTGAAATACAGTTGTCGCCACCAACAACTGTAAGTTAATAACAATAGCTTTGTGGTGAATTCAAAAACAGTGTTTGATTTCTTAAAAAGAATGAAAAGATTTGTTTCAATGTCGTATGAATTTCATAGAAGCACAAGAAATACTATATAAATTACAATTGAACCGAATTATTTGGCCGAGAAAGAGTTGAAAATAATTATATCAATTATCTGTTATGCGATTTCAAAATAAATACACTGCTTACGCTATTCCACACAAACACATTGCTGAAATCATGTTCATTGAACTATCATCGTCGATCTGGAATAACTTCTTGTTACCATCAGCGCGAATTTTTTTATTTTATTTTTTTTTTATTCTATTGAACACCGCCAAGCTCTGGCTGAATATAATGTGGGTTTTGATTAAGGTTTGGCCGGAAAAGAGTGCAAGACTGTTACATATTTAGATTAATAAACAATTAGTAGTGATAACTTTCGATAACTTTCAGTGCTCGCCTAGGACAGCAAGAGTCGTCGCTCAATTTATACCGGTAGATAAATTGACGAGAAGTTTTACGTCTGTGAAGGCAGATCCATGTTGATTGCAGAGTGCATTGAGTTGACATGGACTGTGATTTGAAACGTAACTAGAGCATTTGATGCTAATTGATAAATAATTCAAAATTGACTTCAAAGATAAGAATATTAAGTCGCCAACTCGTGGATGGCTACAACAAAGCACAAAATCAAAATTTACAATAAATAAGTGTAAACATCACAGATAAGTATCATCATTTCAATACACATAAAAGAATGTATGGAAAACAATTCGTCAGTCTTTAAGTATTGATTTTGCTGTGTGATTCGTGTGAGATGAGTTGAATACCACGAAGGTGGTTGGTACCTGGGACAGCCCCGCTCGTGTTTGTTGCAATCAGCAGCAACCCAAAGAATGGCACCTGGGCAATATGCGTTGTCCTTGATGAATTCGTCCGCTTGAGATCATGGATCGGGTTTAACGGCAACATGAAAATCGCAATTTCATAATTAACCCTCGTACACGCACATGGGTCTGCCCAGGCATTTTTCGATTTTGAGCGTTAATTTAACATACTTCTAGCTAGCGACTTGAGTTTTAAGTTACCTGCCTAAAATTTCATTGGCTATCGATCCAGCAAAATGAACATCACAAAGAAGTCCTTGAAAGGGATGATATAAGGATATCCAAAAACTACACCTTACTCCACGAACATGGTGCCTGGCCAGACCCCTATACATTTTCATGCATTTGTATGGGAATAAGGTATATATGCCATTTCATTTTCAGCAAAACTGATAAAAGTAAGTGATAACTGTCTTCAGCAAAGTTGTAGATCAGGTCAAGATCTACAGTTGTTACGCGTAACGATAAGAGATAAGTGATAACTGTCATGAGCAAACTTGAAGAACAGATTGAGTACTATATTTTTGCCCCAGACACTAATTCGTTATCCTTTATCAGGAACGCGATAAACCGCGGAAATTTCGAGTTTTCTTTTATCATTTTTCGCGGGACTGATAAGAGATAAAGAGATGACGTCTTCAAAAAAAACTGTAGCTCTTGACCTGATCTACAACTTTGCTGAAGATAGTTATCACTTATCTTTTATCAGTTTTGCTAAAAATGAAATGGCATATATACCTTATCCCCATACAAATGCATGTAAATGTATAGGGGTCTGGCCAGGCACCATGTGCATAGAGTAAGGTTTTAAAATATGTGCGTGTACGAGGGTTAATGTGGGTAGTATCAAGGTGTTCTCGTAGAGAACATTTGTATGTATTGTAATGAGGTTACCTGGATGGAAAATTATCTAGGCGGCCAGGCAGTCATTTGAGTTTGCAAAGCGATCCAAAAGTGGTGTCCGCCATTCTGCGAACCGATGATGCAAAATTCGTGACAGCGTATAAGTCGAAGCAAACTACTTATAAGTAGAACATGTATGGACAGGAGAGCGGATTTCCAGCGTAAAAATTAATTACATAGTGTTTCCAAGTCATTTTACGCTGAAAATACGTCGACATATCCATAAACGTTCTACCTTTAAGTAACTTATAAGTAATAAACATAGATGAAACATAGCGGAAAAAATTACTTCCAATTTTCATAGAGTAGCGATGAAATGAAGCATTAAAAATGGTGACAACTGGAAGAAATCTCTCAAAAATGTAAGCGAGTAAGATGTGCAATACAGAGGAAGTCGACACAAGATTATATCCACAAATAAAATTCAAACCTTAAATTTAATAAAGGACCTAAGTCATTAAGTTACACAAAAATCGGCCATTTTGTAATTTTCATATATATTGAAAGATGTAATGAACAGGCGAAAGATAATTAAGAATAACTTGACATAGTGAGTGTCTAAAACGTGATATGAATTATAAATTGCGTGGCTGATTTTTGTTGTATTCTTGAAGAGTTTTTTTATTATTACCGTTTGACGTATGATATGATATTATATCATCATATTCGTTTGTGAAACGATATCAAATTCAACCATGTGTTTCAGGTAATTTTTGAAAGAGAAAAAACCAATAAAAAATTGATGGAATTCGTAAACACTGTTGTCATGCGACAGAGATGATAAAAAAGTAATAAGCACAACATTTATAAAAGTGTGTACCTAATATGCGATGTACCAAGAAAATTAGGGGCAGATCACGAAATACAAATATTTATTTGCCATTTATATACGCTCATCACACCATATTTACTCATTTTGTGTGAAACATGAATATTCAGAAAATGTATGCGCAGTTTGTGGGTAAATATTTGGTATTCGCGTGACATTTTCGTCATATTTTTTTCATTTGCAGAATAATTGTTCTATTTTCTCCGACACTAGTGTCATCTTGAATACTGCCACAAATATTACAAATTTCATTTGTCAATATTTTGGAAATACCTCCCATAAATGAACCGTTGCGACAAACAAATTCCCTCAGAATGTTTTAGTTTCAAAGTGCAACATGAAATTTTTTTTATATAGAGTTTACAAAAACAACTCCATATGAAAAAAACTTTATATTACCCTTTAAAACTAAAATATTCTGAGGGAATTGTTTTGTCGCAATGGTTCAAATATACACATTTGATTTTCGTGATTTTCCCCTAGCAAGAAACCACATCCAATTTTCTGTCGTTTAATTTATTTTCACACACTTTTTATGAAGCAAATGATCTATTCAAATTCAGTAATAATTAAACGGTAAATTTAATTTCAATCTCGATTGCAATTACTGTTTCAAGTTTTGACACACAATAACGGTCTTCTTAGTAGATACATTTTCTTATAAAAGAATATTCTCCCAGGCTCAAATCAGTCACCAGAAGTACCGAGTGATCATAATAATTTCGAAAAAAATGACATCTTATCTGGCAGTAGTGTTTCTATTATGTGGAGTTTTACATTATTCCACGGCTGAAATAGGAGACCTGGCTGATATTGCTGCAAAAAGTGCAATGAAGAAGTGAGATCATCCAAGAAAAAATAATCAATCATTGATCAATAATAAAAAATGTTCTCTCGATAGTTTTGTAATTGAAATTTCTCTTTCAGTCCTATCGTTGCTCAAGTTCCCGGTGCCCAATGTGGCATTGGTGGTGCAATGGCGTAAGTGCATCGTAAATATTCTATCAATTATGGTTGTTCTGATCTTGATTATTCCTTTGACAGCACAATGAAAGCATTTAATAAATACCAAGAGACTGGAGATTATAGGCAAGCATTGCGCACCGGAGGAGACTCTATTGCTGAAAGGTAAAATACATCCAAATTTACACACAGATTGTTTGAATTTATTAAAGTTAAATTTAAATATCATTTTCTGTCCAGCGCTAATGACATGGCCGACTCGAATCCCACACTAGGTATGCTCAGAACTGGCACGAAGCTTGCTAATGATATACGCGGCGGAAAGGATTTTAAATCAGCACTTACTGAAAGGTATCGAAAAAGACCACTTTCGAGTTATTTAACTTTTTAATGCAAAAATGTTTTGAATTGAATTTTGGATTTTTTCACATAACTGAACTCTTTGGTCAATATAAAGAAAACCAGAATTTCCATCGAAATTCCAATTTATCCTAATTTTTCCCAACACATCGACGCAAAAATAATCGTTTTTTATTTATTCATTTAGTGCATCTGAAATGGCGCAATCAAATAGTGCATTCAAGATGTTTGAAGATGGAAATAATCTGGTAAGAGATTTCACTGGAAAGGATTTAAGCAAAGTGATTTCAGAACGGTAAGAAAATCAATGAAGTCGCTTCAATCTTGCTCAAATGTTAAAATATATCCAACGCTTAAGTGGCTCTAATAAATAATTAATCTAAATTTCGATTGATTTATTCAAAAATAGAGCTAGTGCTGAAATGAATAGACAATTTCCTGGAGCTGGAGCTGGAGCTGGAGCAGTAATGGCTAAAGATTTCTTAAATAAAAGCAATATGCAAACTGACAATTCAAAAAGGTATCATTTTTCTTTCAAAACTAAACCATATTGATGACTAAAATGTTCGTTTGCTTACTTGCAGAAATCCAACATCAGTACGAAATTATCTGAGGCGTGTGGGTAAGATGATAAAACCTACAACAATATTCAATCGCTTGAGCAAAATGTGTAGATCAAGCAAGAATCCGTCAAAAACTGGAATAAAAACGATCTGAATGTTAATCGCTAACTTCGTCAATAGAATTCGAAAATCACCTGTGGAAAACGCCAATTTTTTAAAGACTTTTTATGGATTTTTATTGAGTTTTTCTTTTAATTTTCCTTGTCCTTTATAATATCGATTACGTCTAAAAAAAATTATACTTGTGTAAAGTTTTCATTCGCATAGATTTTGAAGAATAAAAATCGTAAATTAAATTTATTCCAAATTGTGTCCTGTCTTCTATTGTATAACACTCAAATTTCTGTATTCATCAAGCTATTTTTCTGTTCACATATTACATTCAAACACTTTTAAATCAACATTTATTCGCACCGAAACGATTTAAACGATTCGATTTATGGGTGAAGTTCAATTAATTTTGAAGAAAAAAAAAACAGAAGAAAAAATAGAATAATACGAGTCACAAATGAGACAGTACGAACGAAGTCACAGAAATAAACGTTATAAATTGTTTCTTGTTTTTTTCTCGTGTGGACAAAATTGATCCAACGTTTTTTTTTCATAGCGAAATAAATCATTTATTGTAAATAATGAATCTGTTTACTATTGCAAGTCCTTTTAAAGTAAAAAAAAATCATGAAAATAATAATTGGGTGAATTGTTCTACGGTATACTGAATATGACATACATGTGCAACTTCTGTCTTGAAGGGGAGAGAGAAAGAAGTAGCTATTTCATATGAACTAAATTTTTTTTTTAACCAAATCTTTTTTCTTCTGAAAACATCGCTTTTCGTTTTTCTTCGTGGGAAAAATGAAGCAAAGTCGATGCTTTTTGTTATGTCAAATTTGGTAGTTTTCTGGCTTTTCGTTTTTTTTCTCCATCAAATATTCAATGTAATGTTTTTTTTTGTCCTATTTTATTGCGGCTAAAATGAATTCCTGGAAGCCGACCGATCTGAACCTGATTTTAAATATCAACTGATTGTTTGTTTCGGTTGATGATCAAAATCTGGACAACAACATGTGTTTAAATGTGTTTAGCAAATGCTGAACGAGGATATTCATCTGCTCAATGTGGTGGCTTTTTGTGGTTGTTGTTTTTGATAACAGAACACATAAAAATAAAAGAAAATTCTTCGGTAATTTGGGATTCTAATCCAAAAACTCTTCATGAGAATATTATTAGCCGCTAAATATATAAATATAAATACAAGAATACAAGATAGATAAACCAATGATTTTTTTTGCTGATTTTTCTTTCAGATTTTGTGATTTAACTGATGTTGTTGTTACTGCTTGCTGTTCCCTTAAAAAGCGGTTGTTAGTTGGTGAATATGCGGTTTGCTACTGCCGTTGTATAAATCACAAACTCCCTCCATGTTTTTTTTGCTGTTTTCTTTTGTTTTTTTCTTTCTTATTTTTGTTTGTATCTTTCACACGAAACGGTTTCAACAATCGTCTTTTGCCGCGGAGCACTGACCTATTTCTTCGATTTGCCGTAGACATTCTCGTCCGAATAAGCAATGTACAAGAAGTAGTCTTCTTCGTGGTGCTCCTGAATTGAATTAGATTAAATTCTATTAGATTCGGATCAAAATAAACCCAAAATGGGCAACAAATGCAAATTCCATGGAATGTGTATGACTTTGCATGCATGGAATTCACATAAAACTTAAAGTTCAAAGCAAATTCCGTTCAAAAACAGAGAAAATCGTCGTTTCTCACCTGATAAAGCGAGCCCATGGTGGCTGATGTTGGTGGAATCACATTGTTCACGAAAAAAAATAGAGCATCCTCTGGACGTAAGTAAATTCGCTTACGAATTAAGAAATAGAATTGTCCTACAGTTAGATCCGATGGTACCAAATACTTTTTCTTATCCAAATCACCGATTCGTGCCTTTGGCGCCTTCTCAACGATCACCTGTAACCAAGCAACAAAATGCATATTAAACATTTTCCTATTTTTTCAATCAAAACTGATAAAACATGTCTTAAAATAGGTTTCAACTAAAAATAGCTTGTTTTTATGTAGAGTTTCGAAACTCCCAGCATGACTATCATTTTCATAAAATTGACAAGTTCGATCGAGAAGAAATGAAGAGAAAAACAAAGGGGAAAAAAATTGGAACTTTGTGTAAACAAAGATAGTGGGTTGTCTTTGCATGCAAATAACAAGAAATTCATTATCTGTGATGTCATGGCATGTTGTGTGATCTGGAATCAACGAAAAAAGAAGTATCTAATCAACGTGCCCAATAATGCAGCAAGTTAAAACAAAAGACGACGATAAACGAAGTAAAAGCAATGAAACAACAAAAATCGAATGAGCATTTCAAATGGAAACGTTAGCAAAATGCGATATCCGCTTCGTGAACCTCCACTTATTTTGTCAGCACTGTGTGTTTGTGTTTTCTCATGACAGCTTACACAGGTGGCTAACAACGTGTTCACCTACAATCGGTAATTCGATGCATAAATATAACAAATGAGACAATGAACACTTGCGCGTTGAACAACGAATATTTTCAAATGTCTTTGTTTTTAAGATGTGATAATGTGTGCGTGATGTTTTTTTCATTTGCGCCTAAATGTTGTGTTCCGAACGAAAACGAGTATTATTCAAATATATCAACAGGCATGCGACTTGTTTGTTTCGATGTGTTTTTTTCGGACGGGTTCACAAACTATGCTGGGGGGACAAATGACCTTAATGCCGAAGTGAATAAAAAAAATCTGATTTATTTTATCAAGAACAGCGTGGTGAACACGCACTCTCGGTGAATCCACAGCTCACAACAGCTGATATGGATTTGTATTAATTGGATTTTCATTCCAGTCCCGCACATCCATACACACTCGAAAATGGTGACGGAACTAGCAACGGCTACGTCGTCTTTTTTGCTGTGCAAAATGTCAATCGAGAATCGTGTGTACTCTTATCGAATCGCGCAACTTGAGCTTTGACAGGAATGTGTGTCTGTTGATTAAATGATTACACGCGAACCAAGAAAAAAAGAATTGAAGAAGAAACGGACGACAAAAAATTGAACCAGAAAGAATTATCACAAAACGTAACGATGAAACATCGTTTGCAATGCATGTATCCTATCGTTAAGTGATCTTTGACAAGTTTTACGACACACATTTGAAACAATTTGTTTCGAACGAAAATTGCCCTGCTCAAAATGCTCTGCTAAAACATTATGTGTAGGATTTATCTAGGGATTTGTCTTGTGACTTTTGTTTACGTATTTTATCGTTCGGCTCTGAACTGGCCGTCCACGAGAGATACAATAAACAAGTCAAAAAAAAGTTGCGTGACCATTTGGCAGCAAGGAATTTGCTTGAACTTGAGCCGTTTTGAAGGAAGAAGGCGTGGAAAGTGACAACAATTTCATTGAAGCGCATTTGCTCTGATTTACTGGCATTGAGAAACATCTGTCATAATCGCAACGTAATCTGAAATCGATCGATTTGTCTCATAAATATTTGTTTCGTTCTGTTTTCCACTCGGAAATATTTCGTCATGTGACGAAATAAGTATTTTGCTTCTATTTCAGTCCGTTTACGCGATCTCGCCCATTTTTTTTCGCTCTCTCTCTCTCTCTCTCTCTCTCTCTCTTGCCCGCTCTAACTCTAGTCAGTTTTATAAATGAAGCAAACACATCATACGATCGCTGCTGTTGCTGCTGCTACGATGTAAACAAGAATGGTGACTATTTCGCAAACGACAAATAAAAACATTAGCAAAATATTGTATTCAAGATGCTGTGTTTTGATTTCACTTTTGTTCACATTCTCTTTTCTCGTATATTTTGGCATGAGTTTCGTTGTGCGCGCGATGCGCACAGTACAAAAATAAATCTATGAATTGCGCAACAAATGGCTTGAATCAGCCATATGATTGTAATGGATGATCAATTCGTTTAATTGGGTAACAAATGCATTTTTAATGCATCAACCAAAAAAAAAGAAAAAAGAATAGCAAACAAAATTGGGCTTGGATTGTTTCTATCAAAGTCAAATGATGCATTTAGTTTTCGATTTGAAATGCGTTTGCATGATCGCTTGCGAATAGAGCACACAAAGACTCTCATAGTGAATTGCAAGTTTAACAACGAAAAAAAGAAACAAACAAAACTAAAGTTAATCGTGCCGTTTGTGCGCTGCAAACAGTCATAAAACGGATAACCAAATGATATTCATGCGGCGTGTGTGCATTCAAATTCTCGGTTGCGCTGACCTTGATTATATTTTATGTGTGCTTGAAGTAAAGACATGTGATCAGCTTTTGTGGCGGCTATGCTCTCACTCGATTGCTTAGTCTCTGACTGCTACATCGGAATTGATCATAAATATGATGATAATCGATGTTAATAATCGTAATGTTGTTTGCAACCGATTGATATCGTCGTCCATTGCGTTTGTTGTTGTTTTTGCGTTTCTCGTGTATTCATTTGTGCACTTTAAACGTGTCTCTGTTTCACTTGTGTTTGCTTGATTAATCATCAAAACAGAGCGCTGATGATAATGGTTTTGTTGTTGTACGGGCCAGAAAAACCAATACACCAACCAAATTCCGACTATAATGTGTACAATACAAATAGAAACAGTCGAACTGATGACTTCAGTACCGAAACTTGCTCTCACCGTTGTGACTATGTGTATATGTATATTAGGGTAGCCCAAATGCCAAATGTTTTAAAATTTGCAGCTCCCACCCGCTGATCCGAAAATTTGGGCCGAAAAAATAAATTTAAGCCATTTTCCGACATACTTTTACTAATCAAATCCACTCCCCCGAGAGCTATGTAGTTTGTAGGGGAATAAAATCAATACATTGAAGTATATTCAAAAATTTTGGTACTATATCGCAATTATACTGGACAACAGATGACTGGATCTTACTGCTGGCGTCCAGTATAATTGCGATATAGTACCAAAATTTTTGAATATACTTCAATGTATTGATTTTATTCCCCTACAAACTACATAGCTCTCGGGGGAGTGGATTTGATTAGTAAAAGTATGTCGGAAAATGGCTTAAATTTATTTTTTCGGCCCAAATTTTCGGATCAGCGGTAGGGAGCTGCAAATTTTAAAACATTTGGCATTTGGGCCACCCTAATGTATATACACGTCCGTTTTCAAAGCATATGTTTTTCAGTCGTTGGTAAACAACACTGTGTCATGAGAAATACACACAGCGACACGCACACACCGAGACATCGAGTGTGGATATTATTGTGCGCACAAAGTTCATTTATGTATGGATTTTTGTTATTCCAACCGTGCACACGTACGACTCTAATGCTAATGTGTTTTCGCATTTAACACTCACTGCCATTGTATGAGTGTATTTTTTTCTGCTTTTGCTATTTAAAACAACGTAGAAAATTTCGAACGAACCAAAGCCAAAGGCACAGAAAAAGAAGAACGCATGATTAAGTACAAAAATGATTTTTGGAATGGCATATTTTGTTGTGAAAGAGTAAAACGTGTAGAATCGCCTTTCGAATGATTATCTCATTGTTGATTCAATTTTCAGAAGAATGAAAATGCTCTTTGCCTTCCGTTATCGTAAAGGGACAAAATGTCGATACGCAAGAACAATGGTCGCCTTGAGGTCGAACAAATTCTATATTGCCTTTTGTCGCAACGTAATGAGTTTGCAAAATTTTCAAGTTTTTTTTCTCTTCGAAATGTCCGACATATTGGAAACGGATCGAAAGATTAATGAACAAAGAAAAAATGATATGTTGCTATAAAATAGACAAACTGTTGTTGTACCAACAACATAGACGCAACGCGTTGGCAAAGTATCAAAACAAAATAAGAAAAAAAAATAATGGCGAACGCACCCACTGTATTCGAAAACCATTTTTTTTTTAAACCACACTTCTGATAATGAACTCTCTGAATATCCATTTTTTTGAAGGAGAAAAAAAAATGCACACAACAGAAAAAAACGTATATCTACTTACAGGAACACGATCTGGATATTTTCGTCTGATTTTATCACCTTCAGCTCGTCGCTTTTCGAATGGGCACTCTTCTTTGTATTGGAACTTCATTTTCACTTCTTCCTTTTTTCAAAAGTCGACGACGATGAAAAAAATACTCGGTATATATGTTTGCTTTGTTTTGATGGTCGCCTCCACGCGATGCACACTCAATCGCTTTGATTTTTCTCTTTGTTTTATTTTAGGCTTTCTCTCTTTCTGTCTCTGTGTTGTTATTATGCGCAGAAAAAAAATACTTTTTGCTTTGCAATCGTTGCAAATTGTTACGAAATTAACAATTTGACGCTGTTACTAGTTTTTTTTTAGCTCTCTTTACGATTCAATTTTCTAGTTACTCTGGTTACACTCTGGTGTGCGTGTGGTTTTTTTTTGCTGTATAAAATTCTTTTTCAAAGTTTTAATATTTCGCTCTTCGCTCTTCAAATGGTATTATGTTGTTATGTACAGCTAACAATCTCTTCTACTGGTGCTGCTTCTTCTTTTTTGCTTGCCTTTAAGTTGTTTTGTTATTTTTCTCTCTCTCGTTCGCTACGTATTATAGTTTATTCGTCACTCAGCTGTTGTGTGCACTGTTTTTCTTACTGTGGAATATGCTATTGTTGAAACAGCTCACTCACTGAATACAGTAACTGCGTTCAAATTGAAAGTGACGAAAACTGCGAAACGAACACATACGATGAGCTGATTCGTGTATGTGTGCGTGTGTTGAGCATCAATGATAGAGACAGACACACGGTTTTTTCGTTGGTTTAGGTTGGCATAACGTCGAATGGGTCGTTCAATGAGTCTCTATTTGGAAGAGGAAATTGATTTTAAATTTAAAAAAATGAAATTTGTATCAAAAAATCTTTCATTGACTCTGATGAAAATAATTATGTTTTTCTAAAATAGTTTTAGGTAAAAAAATGCCTTAAATCGAAATAAAATTCCATTCCAAATGAAAATATGTGAATGTTGACCATTGAACGGCCTCAATCTGGAATATCCGATTCCAATCGACGAGCACATGAACGTACGTTTCGCCGCCATATGCATTCCAATCTGTCACTTTAACATTTGGATCGGTATATGTCATTGAACGATTCTCTCTTTTTACACTGAAAGTGGTACCGATAACATGGCACCGACAGTGAGTTGTGTTTCATTTTTCGATTTTTTCCAAGTTTTTCGCAAATTTTGTGGGAAATTTGGGTTTGAATTTATTTTTAAGGGCCTAAATATGGTGGCTGTTGTGAATTTTGGTGATTTCCATGTCGGATGATCGAAATAATTTGCGATAAAATTAGTTGTGATATTGTTCCCGAATCCCGTTCCGTTTGACAGGGCATTTCAATGAAAGTGTAAAATGATTTCATTCAAACATGAAATTCTTTTATGAATGCCAAATACTGGATTGAGTCACCGCACTCATGGTTCAATCAATTAACAAGTGAATAATTCAAGACGAAAAATCATTTTTTCGAGATTGTGCATGGTACACGAGTGCAATGCTTTCGAAACGATGTGACAGGAAAACACCAAAATATCACATAACCTCAATACACGTTACTGTCTACGCAAAGCATGTCAATAATTGACCGACATTTACTAACTGATTGGATTATTTTCTCCCGCAGAAATCTGGAAAGACAGAAAAGCCAAAGGCTGCCGACAAGCCAAAAGCTGAAAAACCAGCAACAGCTAAAGGCAAGGTTGAAAAACCCGCTAAACCAGCTGAAACCAAGCCCAATCCAGCCGCTGCTGCTAATGTAGCCAAGGAAGCTACCAAGACTAAAGGTAAATTTTCCGTTATCACATCGCAATCCATTTCACCACTATTTCGTTTCGTGTTTAATATTTGATTTTATTTCGTTTTTTTAGCTGCACCAGCTAAAGCAGCCCCAGCTGCTAAGGCTGCCAAGGCTGCCCCAGCCAAGAAGGAAGAGGCAAAGAAGGCTCCGGCTGCCAAGAAAGAAGACCCAAAGAAAGCACCAGCCGCCAAGAAGGAGGAGCCAAAGAAGGCTGCCCCAGCTAAGGCTGCACCAGCCAAAGCTGCTCCAGCTGCCGCACCAGCTCCAGCCGCTGCTGAACCAGCTAAAGAGCAAAAAGATGCTAAAACCGTCAAGGCTGTCGCTGCTAAGCCACAACCCAAGAAACGTGGTGTTAACGCCAAGGCTGCCGCTGCCAGTGGTAAGGGACGTGTTAGCAAGAAACAATTGCGTGGCAAGGGCTTGAAAAAGAAGAAGATCCAACTTCGTTTCGCCATCGATTGCACCAACATCGCCGAAGACAGCATCATGGATGTTGCTGACTTTGTAAGTATTCCCACCGCACACACGTGCACACACAGTGACACGTTCGTTCCGATATCAGAATGACTAAAATCATGTGCGCTCTCTTCTTCAAAACAGGAAAAATACTTGGTCGAACACATCAAAGTGAACGGTAAAGTCAACAACTTGGGCAACAACGTCACGCTTGAACGTCAAAAGATGAAGGTGATCGTCAATTCGGACGTCCACTTTTCGAAAGCCTACTTGAAATATTTGACCAAACGGTATCTCAAAAAGAACAGCCTTCGTGACTGGATCCGTGTCGTAGCCAACGAAAAAGATAGCTACGAATTGCGTTACTTCAGAATCAGCAGCAACGATGATGATGAAGAAGATAACGAATAGATTTTTTTAATGAAATTTGCAGCGCAATTTCTTTCAGTTGGAGACAATGTTTGTTTTTAATCAGAGAAAATTGTGTGGAAATCTTATTGCATAAAATCCGCAAAAAAAATAAAAGAAAAAGAAAAAACATTTCCAGAAAAAAAATCGTCCGTTGGTTTCGTTTGTTTTGAAGCCGGTTTTCCAGGTGGAATGAGTTCACATGTTGCAAACGTTATGCAATTCAGAAAAAACGTTTCATTCTTGAATATCTACAATGGGTCAATATGAGGTAAATGGGCTGCTTGATTTTTCGTCCTATTGAATTTGGGTAAATTCTTCAAGGATGGAAATGCAAACTAACAAGTGCGAGACTGAACTGACCAAGAAATTGAAATAATTTAACTTGATTCAAGGTTTGAGGTTTGGACAATTTGAAAAATCAACTCATCTCTGAACAAGGGTATCGAATTCATTGAAATAAAACAGCAAATTCTTGTCTATTTTTTTGTCATCATTCAAAATGGTATATTTCTCCATTTGTGTGGGATTTTTACATAATATAATTCACACTGCATTCATTGAATCCATCCACTCGAATGAAATCTCTCGCTTTAAATTTAAATTTTTTTTACAAATAAAACGTTTTTTTAAATTAAAAATTATACAATAATATAAATACACGATTTCAATTCAATCTAAAAACTGATTTGCTGGTTTATCGATCTGTTGTGTTCTCACTCCAATTTGTTTTCTTCTTTTTTTCTTATCTTTTTCATTTGCATAAATACATATGTAAAAAACTTGTAAAATGGCATTGGCATAGAATGTTGTCTATATAAATTTGTTATCGCAATCAATTTGACAGCGGAAATTTCAAATTGACACTTAACAGGTATGGACACTAGAAAAAACTGTAACTATTCGGTATTTTTTTGTTCTTCTTTTCTGCTCTAAGTCCTATTTGATAGAGTGTGTGTACAAAAAAGCGGAATAAAAATGTTCTACATTTCGTATGAATTGAAAATAAAACTGAATTGTGTGTTTACCGAGTGACAAAAAGAAAATTCAGTGACTTTTGCAGATTTGGTTTAGATTTGTGATTTATATAGGTAAAAATATTGTAAACCGTTTGTATATAGATCGACACAACCGATTTTATTTGCGAAATATGGAATTTCGATGAAAATTTTTCGAAAGAGGACATTACTAGAGAAAAAAAAACTCCAAAATGAAAGAAGAAAATAAATTCATGCATAGGATATTTTATGGTGAATTTTCACATCCAATCAACACCAAACAAAAATCGCCATAAACTATGAAATTGTTGCCAAACTATCGTGTAGATTCTTATAATGTTATCATTTTATCATTGCTCCACATTCAATCCGCATCATGCTTTCCTGAGTCAATTTGGATAGAGTGTTTGAGAGGAAAGTTGGTGAATTTATTTCTTTTTTCTCACGTCAGTTACGCAATTCTCTTGCCATAAAATCTGCGAATGTATTTAAGCTGTATTCGACACCGTTGTGGATTTTATTGTTTCATTTATTGCAATTAGTGTTGGTTTTCATTATTTTTTGTTGTTGTTGTATAAATTGATCAACATGTAAGCCATTGAATTGGACTCATTTTTAGTGGCAGAAGCGTATTTTTCAATATAGCATGTTTATTGTTTATTATGGTCTTTTGCTGTTGGTTCATTCATTTTGTTTTCGTATTTTTTGTTTTCTTCTTTCATTATTGAATTCATTCGTTAAAATGATTAGCTTACAAACTAATTACTGAATAATTGTCTATCCTCACAATTTGCTACATGAAATTACAAACACAACAGACTTGTCTATATGTCGTCGCTGTGATGCCGACGAAAAGATGTGACTGGTTTTGGTTGATCTAGTAAGGGGAGATGGGCGTTGGGCGCAGAATTAAAAAAAACTCATTTTGAGTGCCATTTCTCTTTTGGAATTTCTCAAATAAATTAAACATCTACCGTACGACAAATACAAATACAAAAGAAAACCGTTAATATTTTTTTTTCATTCTTTCTTCATTTTTATCTCTCTCTCGCGCTTGGAAAAGCAACTAATTTGGAATAGATTTACATTGATTTTGCCCGAAGTGGTCTTGCATTTCAATCATTTGTTTGTTTTGTACAATTTTTGCAATCGCTTCAATCAACTCTCGAACTTGGGGGGTGGTTACACAGTATTGACAATCTAAATAATAATGCTTCAATTGCGATGCATCGATTCATTCTTTGTTTAGTTTAGTTTAGTTTTTTCTTGACAATTTTAAGCAACATTCTTTCGCTATTTTTTCTATTCATTCATTTAGAAAAAAAAATGTGTAAATAACGCATGCATTTATCCTTTTGACTGCTCATCCTGGTGCAGTTAGCGATGAACGGCTGAAAATGCTTAGTCTTTCTTTGTGGGTTTCTTTTTGTGAATTCGTTTGTGATAGCTCTGAGCCAAACTATTTACAATTGATATGACAAAGTAGACAATCATCGCAACGACAAAGTACTCAAACAGTTTAGCGATGAGATTTTTCGACTCTTTTGGTGGTTCCTTGCTGGAACGATGCAATCGGGTTTTCTGATTTTGAAGGAATGCTTTGAATGGCTCTTGTAGACGTGGTCCCATCCATGGAATCAATGCCAGCACATCGACCGCTTTCTCCACCAGCGTTTCGCTGAACGCAATGATAACAAACACCTTTTGAATGTGCATCTTTATCACAGCTTTGCCCAACAATGTTGCACCGAAGAATGTCCAGAATGGTACCAAGAAATGGCCACATGTAATGCCAGCCAAATCGAACAATGGATTTGGAATCTAAGGAGAAGAGAAGGTAAATAATTTGTCGTTAACAATTTGAAACTTGTTCAAATGGAATCATAGATTATACTTACACTTGCACATGCCAAAATGCCAAAGAATCCAACTTTTTCAACGGCTTTCTCCATGAAAATCTTAGCACGTTCCAATAAACTCAATTCAACACCCATCTCACGTTTCTTATTCAATTCTTCAAACTCTTTGAGATCCTCGGCATCATCTGGATCGTAGCCAGATAGACGTGATGCCTTGGCCATGAAATATGGCGGCAATTCACCGAGTGCAGTACCAGCTCCCCATAAAAATGCTTCCAAACGCACCTTGCTCATTATGCTCCACAACGATGGAACATAGCTGGATGTCACATCTTCAGGACAAATAATTCTAAAGCGGGAAAAATCAAATCAATTATTGGGTGTAGAAATAAGTTTTGAGGGATTTTTTTATGAAAAGATACATTTATTTCAAAATAAAATGAATGAGTACATTAACCAATGTATTGGCCATCGTTAGCTATGACCTCTAGCCATCTACCGGGCAACTTGTGGATTCCTCGTTTGAAGAAGTCCTCGTCTTGTGAGGTTATGTAGTCATCAACCCATTTTTGCACTTCTTCAACATTTCGAAAGCGTACTTCGGACAGGGCCATTTGCATCGAACGGAAAAGGTAGTAGTCAGAAGGAGCAAGGTCTGGAGAGTTCGCGGGCTGACCAAGCCGGTCCCGTCCGAAGCCATCCTTAGAAATATTTGATTTGTTCTATGAAATGTCACTGAACCATTTTTCGCGAAAAAACGACTTTTTTGTGTCATGGGTCAAATTTTTGTGGTTCTGCTGTCAATAATTGATATATGCCGATTGATTATTATTAGGAACGAGTAATTCTATTATTTTGATAAATTTACGCCACCCCTTCCCCCCCTCCAGCCCCCAAAAATGGAAAAAATGCATTTTTTAGTGATGAACTTACAGCGCCCTCTATAGTGACAAGGAGCAGCGATCTAAGAATGGTTTTTTCTGCTTGACTCTATCGAGAATGGTTCAATCTTCATTATTAGTGCACACTTGATGCAAGGATATCCGCTTTTTCTTCGAATTATAGAGGAAAAGTAAAACTTCCCGCAAATGCTGTTTTTTTGGCACGTATGTTGACATGATTGAAGGCGAAAAAAATTATGTTGTTTACACTTTGGCAATTTGACACATACTGAAAACTAGTGTCACTTGACGTGGCTTCGACGTGAATATAGTTACAGTATGGCCAGATGCGATATAATACAAGTTCCGCCATCTGGCAAAAATCCCTCAAAACTTATTTCTACACCCAATAGTTAAAGTCAATCTTTGCTTTGTTAATCTCCTTTTCTTCAAAAATAATTCATTGAAATGAACATTTCCCTTTTTCAAAGCAAGTTCTACTTACTCATCTGGATAGGGTGGCGATGGAAAGTTCAACGAATTACATTCGTACGCAGCCAACGTGACGCTGGCTATGTGTGGGCCCAGGTACAATAGGAACGTATGCAAGCCGGTGCCCAAACCGACTGATGACAGCACACCCAGTCCAACCCAATACACGACAAACCATAAATTGGTGCGTACCGCGGTAATCAGTACTTGATGATTGCCCGGAATATGGTACAGTGTACTTAATACTGCTATCGCGGCAATGATAATTGTAATAGCTAATTTATTCTCTAAAGTCCTGTTGGCGAGCAATAAAACGAGATAAACATTTGATTAGGTGGTTAATTCTTTCTCTTCGTCTAAAAATGTTTTATAATTTGTTTTCCAATATCTTACTTTTTGCCATATGTTCGTAGCAATTCCACGGATTCCAATGTGCTGTACTTCACCGTTTGAATGGGATGATACCAAAGCACAAGATTTTCTCGTTCGGTTTTCTCCCATTCCTTGTTTTTCGAATGTGATCCATTGCCCGATGCCGAGCCATTGGCAGTTTTAGCTGATTTCGGTGGTGTCTTCTGTAGTGGGCCGCCATTATTATTTTGTGCGACCGCTTTTTGTTGCTGTTGCTGTAGTGACATCTTAAATCCTACTCTTTGAAGCTGCAATGGAAATGAAGTGTTCAATTAGTTGTTGTTTTTCGCAATTTATTGCCTACAAATCGAAATTAAATTGAGTTCAATTGGAGCCAAAGGGAAAAAGAGAACAAACGAACCAAATGAGCACTGGAATACTTCAATTAATATTGAACAATAACAAAAACGAACACAAGTTCGGTCAGTTCAATGATATACGTGTCACAAAAGGTGATTACAACAACGAAAAAATTCGAAAATTGGAAGACAATTACACACTGGAATTTACAAACAGCAACACAGAAACATGTTGCAAATAGCAGAATTTATTGTTCGATTTGCATACAGGCAAAATGAAAAACAAAACAACAACAGCTATGGCCAAATCAAATGTGGGAATCTGTTAGTTGTGAGAAATGTTGAGTCAAAAAATAAAAAAAGACGTCAATAATGTATCGTACGATCACGATCATTGTGTTTTTAGCCCAACTGTGAACAATATTTGAACGTGGTGAATTCAATAAATCAGTTGCTCGTAGTTGTTAGTTTCCTTCAAAACACACACGCTTATTTGTCCCAATCGATTCGATAAGACGTTTGAATACACACAGCAGAGCACGTCGTGTCAATTGTGTGTCAAATTGAAAACGTGGAAAAAACAGCTGTTTACTGCTCAAAAGAAAGAAGAATAAATGTAAATGTGCGTCATTTGGCTGAAAAAATAAATAAATAGAAAATTGGCATGTGTTGTGGCCAAGAATGTTTGCCATCAGAAATTAAATCGACTGTATACGCATACCGTAGCTAACAATTGAGGTGTGAGGTTGCAAATTTGACAACAACGAAGAAAAGCAATTGGCCATCGGATGGATCTTTTATTGATGCGAAGTGAGATGAGTCTCTTTTTCTCACGCACGCATGCATACATGCTCACACTCTTAGGTGCGTGTACACCATTTGCCGCATCAGCAAATACATACACCGTTCATCGAACTAATTTCACTTTCTTGATCGCAAATGGCAAATGGTGAAAGAAAATCAGCGTGTATATGTACGAACAATCACCCACAAGTGAGTTGGCTGGCTAGCTTGTGGTCTGCAGATACTTAACGCACATTTTATTTCATAAGAGCTCATCTTTTTGCGTTCGCCAAGACACACACTAGCTGAATCATTCGCTTCAATGATTTACAGCTGACGGCGTTTATGTATTTTTTTCTCTCTCTCTCTCCGTACGCACAGATGCAGGCTCACTTTGGAGCAAAAAATTATGGGTATGTGAAAGTCACGGTTAATAAAAACAGCAATCAAATTAACAACAGGTTGCATTTTCATCAAGTAATTTTCCATTTAGAAAGGGAGCGAGAGCGAGAGAGTACAAAGAAAAATGCGACGAAATATTATTTTGTTTTGTTCCTGTTTTTTCTCCTTGCCATTGAAACTCGTTCTAGAAGTATCGATCGTATTCGCACCAAATTCGAAATCAAAACTCAATGACACATAAATACGCGATCAATGTAAAATGGGATTGATATTGACCTCGTCAAGGCGATCGCCTTAAATTACAACCAACAACATCCAGTGCTTTGTGTGACGATATTCGTAGCATCAATGCATCTTTGACTGTTGTTCTGATCTATGTATCTCTTTGACGTACGATTCAGGTTTGCCATATTGGAAAAAAATAAATATGATTGTAAAACCTTTTGATGCATGCCTTATTATTATTATGCCCTTTGTGATGCGAACCGATAAAAGAACCGCGATCTTTTCACACAACGTAAGCACACACACACGTACATATATATGCAAAAGCAGTGGCGCGATTCCACTAATTATGACAATGCCTTTGAATGCCATTTGGTATAAACGCATACCGTAACACACTGGCAAACGCATCGTCGTATGAATATTCACTGTGATAGAAAAACGACCGATCACAAGCACCTATTCTGCTTAAGATACAACTCTGTTGTACTCGCAATTTTTCTTCTTCTTCTTCTTTTCCGATTTCCCACACATATCGCCGTTTGTAACATTGACATTTTTCCACCGTGTGCTGTCGCTTGAAAATCTCCTGGACTTTCACAAGAACCACCGATTTTCGGTGAATGTATACTTCAAACTTGTTTGACTTTGAGTCATTGCTTTCCATAAAAAAACTACACTATCGCTGCTAGAGAGAGAGCGAAAAAAAATCACAATCGATTCAATGATGTTGTTTTTTCTGTGTCACTTACGTTGGTTATATTTTGCCCACTACACGTAGGCTAATTCCGAATAAATATGACGTACAATTTTAATTGTTTTTTTTTTGTTTCGGAAAATTTTTAAGTGTTGTTTTCTCGTGATCAATTTTTTTTCTATTCAAGTTATTTTGATTGAAAATGGCACGGTGAGTGCTGCATGTGACTTCAATTGTATGACTGAACGTGTTCATTCGCTTACGATGCGTCAAGTCAATGTACATGATGATCCATATGTGAGCGTTAAGCATTAGAGCAAACACACAAATGCATGTGTGTGTGCGCTAAAAAAAATAACCGTCAGTGTGTGTGGTTAGCCAGCACGACTTGACGGTGTGCGAACTTAAGCAGACGGGGCAACGGCAAGTATGCGCACCATATCGCACATGTGTATGCGTGTGTGTATATATATGCTTATCAAGTGCTTTGGCCATGCGTTCGAACACATGCTTCGTAACTCATTCGTTCATTCGATCGGTCGGTCGGTTGGTCGCTCACTCAATTGTGATGATAAATGACAAAAGAATATATGAACTCTTGAATAAATTCTCTCTTCGTTTGTTGACACTGTTGTTCTGGCATTTCCCAACACCATTTTCCAATTCCCTTGAATCGTTTCAATTCAATTTGAACGCCGAAAAAATTCGATTGTAAAATAACTGACCAGTTTATTAACGCGGCTTTGTTACAACCAAAAACGATCAACTAATTTGAAATAAATGAAGAAAAAAACTAGAACGACACGCGAATGAAAGGGGCCGTACGTAGAAATTCAACGGATGAGTGTCAATTACGTGGCCCAATCGTGTTGTGTATGATTTCGTTAACAGTCAATTTACGCGATTAGCGAAATCACTGGGCTTGATATTAACTACAACACAGTATAGTAAGTCATTGTGTGGACGTAATGATGTTCGGGTCGTCGAATGTGAGAACAAGTTGACGCGTCAATTCAATAAATTTACTGATAAAATGTGAACCACTACATTAAGTTGCAATAAAATTAGAGATAACTCATTAATGTGTCTAATGAGACGCAAGCAACCACCCAGTTGTAATGTGTGTGTGTGTGATGAGTGTTGGTGATTCAAAAACTGTAGCAGAGAAATTTGGCACACTCACACATATAACCACACGGAACTTTTACCAAAACGCTAAATGCAAAAACTCATTACAAGCGCCACAGTCGCATTACGTGCTGTCTTTTGTGCATAGCGTATAAGTTCTGCGTTCAAAGTTCATTCTGATATAACTTTTCACATAGTAAACACATTCCATGCTAATAAATTGTAACAAATTTGCTGAACTATACGCAAATATTACCGTGTCACAACAATACATGTAATACCCTTTCTGACACGTCAGTCATATTCTCTCTCCCAAATGGGAGCACCGCTTCATTTGGGTTTGTTCGAGAAAAAAAATGGTTCAAGTCAATGCAAATTAATTGCTTGCAAATGCACGCCATCACATGACGAAAGTGAAACAATACACAAATCCATGTTGATGTATATTCAAATGAACGTCAGCTACCTGATAATATCGATAAATTATTACAACGCTTTTCCGTTTACAACATTTTGAATTATTGCACTTTATCTTTCGGGTGTTGTTGTTATGTTTCTATTCTCTTTCTAGAAATTGAACAAAATAATTGGGCATTGAAATGAATTATCTTTTCATTTCGAATAACACCGAAGCCAAATTATCGGACGAACCAGACAGGCTAAGCCCGTACAAAAGTGAATGTTTCATTTTATGGTTATATTGCAGGGCTTTGAATATATACACATCCTTCAGCATTGCAGAAGTAATCTCGATTACTTCAATCTTATCTGTCATGGAACTGAAATGTTTCATTTGTTTTCGGTTGAAAATTCGAAATTTATGTTGAAAAATACCAAGATAAACACGAGCAATATTAATCCAAAATGCAAACAGAGCTGAAAAAATACGGTTCTCTAAAAATAGTATCAAATAGACAATTGATGAAGATAATGGAAAATACTTTGAAGTGAGCAAGGTAAAAGCGATAGCAATTTTCCAAGAACCACTCAATCTATTTTCCAGCATAATTCTACGACTTTCAAAAACAAAAATCAATGAAAAGGCCCCAATGGCAAAAACGAAATGCAAATCCACTTCAACGAAATGATGATCAATTAAAATCCATTCTAAGAATCAAAAGGTGGGAGGGATGGTGGTGCAAAGTAGCTTATAAAATTACAACGAAAGAAACACACGCCAATCAAACGGTAACTATGTGAAAAGAAAACAATAAAACGGATGCTATTTAGATGAGAGGTACCAGTTCAGTTTTGGTTCCGGTTGTTTTTTGGCCACGTTTGCGGCACTCGACCTTCAATTGCTCTTTGGTCAATGTCAACAAGAATGCGTTGCGATCCAATTGTTGCTGTTGTTTCGCAGTAAATGTTAATGGTGCGGTGGCGATGCCACCGTTGGCCGTCGTTACCACCGTTGTTGTTGTTGCTGAGCCCGAATGATTATTGTTCACTTGATGATTTGCGATAGACGGATGATGATATCCGTTGTAACTGCTACCATTAGCAAAGCCGTTGAGATTATTGAAAATTTTTGTAATCGGATTTACAGATGATTTTAAATTATGCTGAACTGCTGCTGCGGCCGCTGCTGTTGATGTCGAAGATGATGATGATGATGAGTTTCCGATTCCATTACGTGAACGACGTTTATTTGCCGGCATTATATTTCCAAGTATTGTTGTTATTACTGTGTCGTAAATTGATGTATTTTATGTTGTTTCAATTGTTTGTTGTCGATTCGATAATTTTATCGATGGGTTTTGTCTTTAATTTACTTCGAGTCAATCACTAAATCGATTGGAATGAAGCAACTATTGGTATATACTAAAGATGAGGCTGAAAATTAAAACCAGTTGTGTTGTGACGAACAATTTTGGTGTTTTTTTTCAAAGCCAGTGAAGCAGCACAAAAGAGAAGAAAGAAAAAAGATTGATAAACATTAAAATGTCAGCTAAAAGTATCTTTTTTTCTTCTATCCACAATAGAAATAGGATTCAAATTGAAAGGGAAACGAAAAGAATAGTATAAAATAAACTCAATATTCAGAAAGCGTCAACTAAAAAGCGTCATCGTGCCAAATTGAACCAAAGTATAAAAACCCGCTCGTGACCAATTGCCTCGAATTTGTTTTACATGTTTTCGAATAGAAAAACCATTCCGTTGGACAAAATTCAATGCAATCAATGTTAGGGACACACAATCAGATTAGATGGATAGATAAATTCAATAGAAATCAATGTATTCATTTGCCATTGATATGAAGTAACCGAACCGAACGGAACGTTCATGTAATTGGAAGAAATGGGATATAAAAATCCATGGACGTGGCCGTATTGAAATCATTTGCAATTTGAATGACTAGCTTAGCTTGTAATGGAAACGTATTCTCTTTTTTCAGGTTCTTTTGGTATTAGTGTCGAATAGGTATCGATTTTTTATCCTATCGTGGTCACGCCACGATTCGGAAAACAGTACGTATGAATAAACTATGCTGAATGTCAACGCGGGAGCGCACTTGTTATTGAAACAATAAATTGTGGGCTGTATGGTAATTGCGGTAAGCAAACGTGAGGCTTAGCCCAGTTCATTTAAAATGGCAAAAGCTTTTCTGCAAACCCATTTGTACAGTTTTTTTTTGCTCCAATGAGTATTCCTCATTAAATTTTCAACGGCATATCATTTGATAGTCTATCATTTAAATTTTAAATGTGTCCTCTTCGAAACCCCTATCTATGCGTTTTTCAGTCTGTAAAACTGAATATGTGAATTGTTTCGAACGGTAAAAATTCTTTCTTCCTTCTTCCTCATGGTCGAAATAGCAAATGGAAACATTCATTAGTGGCCGGTCTTTTTTTTCTTCAAATTTGTCAAAGTAAATTTTCGATTGTTTTTCAACAAAAGGTTCACTTGTTAGCACAAGTGAGGCATAGCGAGGCAAATTTGACGGTTGTTGGCATCAAATCAATTTCATGTAATTAGACACAGCAAAACGGTAATAAACAGCTGTTTTCAAAATAAGACCACATACACATTTCATTTTACTATGGGAGAGATACTGAGAAAGAGGGGAAGAGTGAGAAAAAAATCGCAACATTGAAGCTCAAATATGATATGATTATTGTTTTTTTTTTTTCATTATATGTAGCAGTCTATTTTTATTGGTCGGTACCTTCATCGTTCACTCAGCAACGGAAAGCTCCTAAGGGAGCTAAAAATAAAAACAAAAACAGATATACGAGTAGACGAGTTGGAGTTCGTTGCTTCGGGACAAATTTCATCATTTATCTCGTGATTCCGCGTTTGTTCACAGGTTAAAATATGTTCCATTTGGACGTAACTCTATCGTTCGTTCGGTACTCATTTCAACGGCATCCGATTTATTTACCGTTGAATCAAATGGAATGAATCACAAACTCTTTCTTATGCAAATTGATTCCAAAAAAAAATTCCAAAAAATTTAAATCGCTTGATGTTTTGTGTCTTCATTAATCATTTGGTTAAACACACGCCAACGTTAATTAGTTCACAAGGGAATTATTACAACATCGATTCGACGAATTTTAAATTGCATTGAATTTTTAATTGAAGCCCATCATTATCCGATGAATATCGATTGAATTTTCTCGTTTCGATCGTTTTCAATATTGAATTTCCACAAAAATTGATTCAAACAAAGAATTTCGACGTAATTGTCTTGGTATCAGTCGCAAATAAAGAGAATGGCTTGGCTTGGCTTGGCTTTGTTCGCAGTTCAAAACAATGGGAAACGTGTCACACAAACGGCGGACATAGTGCAACGCAATATTATCGATCAAAACAAAAGTGTAACGCCTCAAACAAACAAACGAAACAAGAAAATAGAACAAAACAAAACAAGGACACTAGCTAGCATTTGTGTCTAGAGCTAAACAACTTTTCGACTGGGTGGCTTACATTTTCTTTGGTTTTGGTGTCTTAATATTCTCGCTAAATTGCTGGGCTGCCGTCGATCTTTGTTGCTGTTTCGTGCACTTGATATGGATGCTGTATCAAAATCAGTACATTTCCTGTTGACATTTAATAACATTCACACTTGGGCCATATAGTTTGCACTAAAACACCCTTTCGTTGTTTCAATTGGTTCAATTTCGAAACGATTGAGTTTTTTTTTTATCGTTTTGATAAGCAAATGCTCAAGTGTTTTTTCTTATTTGAATGTATCCACGAGAGTACAAAGTCACACACAAAGCCGACTAATCGATACAAACAAATGATACTTTAGACGTACTTGTTCGATGTAATCCCTTTGCAATTGTTCCACGGCTCCACACAAAAAATTAGCCCAAACCGGATTCAGGACACAGAAAGATAAATATGAAATCTAATTTACTGAATATTTTCCACGGATAAAAAAACTAATGAATAAAATTCAAATTCAAAAACTCAAGAGCACACGCACGAAACTAATTAAACTCCTTTATTTCATTCCCGTGGATATTGTTTCGCTTCAAATTCAATTCAATTTCCGAAAACTGTTCACTCACACACAATTTCTCTCTTCTCGCTCTCTGTTCGGTTTATCTAATTAAACTGAGTTCGCATATCGATATCGTGGTCGCGTTGTTGCCGATTGATCCACGTAGAAAAATGATTACTTGGTTTTTTCTTCTTCTTTCAATACAACAAACACGGAAACCGAGAGACAGAGTGGTGAATCAAATCCAACAAAAAAAGTCGTATGATTTTCCTTTCTTTGAGTAAGTTTATGGTTGGCTGTCAGTGTCGGTGTGCGCGCGTTTGACGGCACCAATCCAATCCAAAAAAAAACTCATACTAATGCAAAAAAGTATGCGTTCGCGATGATGTTGTGTTTCATCTACATCGCAACGCAAAAACATAGCCCACTGTATGCGCTGGTCGTAGTGCCGTACAATTGCACATGAACTGAAATTCATTGTTGATGCTTCGTTCTGTCAGTTTGGCAAAACCGACGCTCAAAATGAGCTACTTGCTAGCGGCGGCATGGCAGCGACCTCTAGCGAAAAACGGAATTATTTAAATGAATCTAATGTCTATTTATTTGAAACTTTCTGTTTCTGCTTTGAAAACCCGCTTGAATTATGATAATTGTAACATCTGCTTCAAAGAAGACGATAGTTTTAAAAGTCATCAATTGAATATTCAAAGCGGTTACGGTAGATTCGGTAAGATAAATACAACAGCACACAAAACGTCACACGGTTTTGTTTGTCAACCGATGTTCGTTCACGTGGTCCAAGTACCGAAAACGAAAATGAACCACAAAGCAAAAACACAGACATACCAAATAACGAATATTATGTAAATGCAGCCGGCAAACGGTGCATGTCAGTGTGAGTGGTTGTGACCGTCGGTCACCAACGAATTGCTCTCATCAGTTCGCATTTGGCAACGATCGAATAGTTTTGCTAATACACAAAGTGCCTGTATCTTTTTCATCGCTTGAGTCTCCATTTTTTTTCGAATCTTTCTTCGAAGTGAAATTGGCTTAACAAATGTACAATTTCATTATGTCAATTCGTTCCCTGTGATTCGCCTCATTTCAATTTTCGTAGTCAATTATTTATTTTGACTCGTGACATTTTTGTATCGGCGTAGCGTTTTGTTCCAACAAAGCATGAGTTTTAGTTGATTTTTGTCGATTTTTCATGTTTTTTCCAACTTCTAATGGCTATATCTCGGAAAACAGAGTTTTGCCAGATATAAGCTATATGTCAAATTTTAGCTCTAATTTGGGGCTATATTTGAAGCAATTATGAAGAAAATCGTCGGAGCCGTTTTCGAGAAAATGGCCGATTTGTGCAAGGCCAGGTGAATTTTTTTTTTGGGTTTTCAGCCCATAAGACCATGCTAACTTGATTTTTTAAAGCTCAAATAGCATTTTATATCTGGCTTGAGACCTTTCCAACGATACCTAAAAGTCTGAAATTGGTTGACAGGGTTAGCCACAGTAGCCATTGGAAGGAAGGCCATCTTTTGAATTTTCAAAGGCCAGCCATGGCCAAATCAAAAAGTGGCGGAACAAAAAAGTCTTAGTTTTTCTTATACTTCAATGCCTGAAAGTTTAAAAAAGATCGGGCAAAAACTACGAAAAGACGGACGGACAGACGTACGGACAGACAAAACTATTATCTCAGAATAATTGCACAGTACGACACATGTTTTTTTTCTCGTGTCCCTGGAAAGCCCTTCACAGGTCTGAAAAAAGGCCTCAAATAATGAAGAACTGTATCATTACTTTTTGAAAGTTAGCTCGTTTAAGCGATTTATTAACACTTTGACGGCTCTTCACACATTTTACCTATTTCTGTTCTTTGGGGACTCCAGGGCCCCATATGTACTTCATATGAAATCTGGACTGTGATAAGAGATAACAAAATATTGTCTGAGGCAAAGTTGTAATACTCGAGGATTGCTATAATTTTGCTGCAACAAATATTGCTTATCTCTTATCAGTTCCGTGAAAAAACGCGAAAAACCGCGAAAAGTTCCCACCTTATTTTTAGTGAAGCTGATAAGAAGTAATAGACTTGCTTCTTCGGCAGAAATGTAGAGCAGGTCGAATACTACAACTTTGATACAGACAATAAGTCGTTATCTCTTATCACTTACGCGAAAAAAATGATAAGAAAAAATTCGCGGTTTTCGCGGTTTCCGCGTAACTGATAAGAGATAACGACTTGATGTCTATGGCGAAGTTGTAGTACTCAAGCTGCTCTACAACTTTGCCGAAAATCATCTTGTTATCTCTTATCAGTTTCGCGGAATACGCGAGAAACCGCTGAAAACCGCGAAAAAAAACGCGTTTTTTCTTATCGTTTTTCACGGAACTGATAAGAGATAACGAGATGGTGTCTATGGCAAAGTTGTAGAACAGCTTGAGTACTACAATTTTGCTACAAGCACCAAGTTGTTATCTCTTATACGCGAATTTTTTCTTATCATTTTTTCGTGTAACTGATAAAAGATAACGACTTGGTGTCTGTAGTAAAGTTGTAGAACTTGACCAGAGCTACAACTTTGACATAGGCACCATCTCGTTATCTGTTATCAGTTCCTTGAAAAATGAGAAACTATGAATTCGCGTTTTTCACGTTTTCGCGGCTTTCCGCGTAACTGATAAGAGATAACGACTTGATGTCTACGGCGAAGTTGTAGTACGTAAACTAGTCTTCAACACTGCTACAGACACCAAGTCCCCAAAAACCGTCATAGTGTTAAATTCGGCGTTTTCAGTGTTCAGCTTACTGTCAAAGTTACTTTGCATGCCATTTACTCCCATTTCCTGATGGTTTTACGCATATGATCACTTCTACAAAAATGTACAGCGGACAATTTTACATGGAAATAGGCTTTACAGATCCGAAATTTATCACTGATAGTGTCAGAAATGTCCAAAATGCCCGAAAATGTATGAAAATCACGAAAAATCGACTTTTCTTGAAAATTTCCTCAAATATACAATTTTCAGGGTTGGTGTCTCGATGAAAAATTATTTTTTCTCGAAAATAAGGGGAGTCTTCTCAGGTAAAAATGCTCAAAAGTGACTTTTTGAGGTACCTCCCGAACCAAAGTGACATTTTTCATGAATTTTGCTATGAAATTATCATGTCTCGAAGAGCTTCAGAAAAAACATGTTCAAGATGAACGGGTTGCGTTCAACACACGGTAAATGGGAAAAATTGATAATTGTACATAATTTTCAAGTGGCTATTTCTGTGGAGGCGGTTGGTACTACCTATTTGAGTTCGGTTTTTACTCGTTTTTACTAGGTAAAAGGGATTAGGTAAAGAGGATTCAAAGTGCTCAAACTTTAATTAAAGTCCATTTTTGTTAGTGGCTATTTTGAAATGTTTCGTTGGCATGAAAATTTTTGGGCCCAATAATGATGTTTTGCATCAAAACATCCGAAGGTTTCATCATTTTTTTGGATTTTTTTTAGATTTTCCGTTAAAGTCCGGACTTTAAAAAAAAATCGTTTTCTTGCATTTTTTGGGGGATTTATTGATAGAATGGAATGAATTAGGACAATTAATGATGATCTGACCCAAAAACCGTCAGGAATTTACCTATTTTTTGAATTTGTTTCGATTTTTAAAATTTTTCACGAATTTTTTTTTTCGTTTTTCCTGGCATTTTTCGAGAAATTTCAATGCGATTGAACATATTTGGGCATAAATAGAGGTTTTACATTGGAATTTTTCAATTTTTTTCGATTTTTTGTAATTTTTTTGCAACATTTTTGAAGTCCATAACTTCTCAACGACTCAAAGTAGAGCAATAGTGTCTGTGGCAACTTTTTAGTACTCCTCAAGACCTTTGCGTACCATGTTCTAAAAGTACTAAAAATGTACTAAAATCTAATAAATGTTGAAAATCGTAAAAATACCCAAAAGTAAAGGTTTTACACAATTTAGTACTTTAAAACCTCTATTTATGCCCAAATATGTTCAATCGCATTGAAGATTCTCGAAAAATGCCAGGAAAAACGAAAAAAAAATTTTCGTGAAAAATTTTAAAAATCGAAAAAAATCCAAAAAATAGGAAATTCCTGACGGCTTTTGGGACAGATCATCATTAATTGTCCCAACTCATTCCATTCTATCAATAAATCCCCCAAAAAATGCAAAAAACGAAAAAAAAATTTAAGTCCAGACTTTAACGGAAAATCTAAAAAAAACCAAAAAAATGATGAAACCTTCGGATGTTTTGATGCAAAATATCATTATTAGGCCAAAAAATTTTCATGCCAATGAAACATTTCAAAAATATCCACTAACAAAAATTTTGACTTTGGACTTTAATCAAAGTCTGAGCACTTTGAATCAGCATATAATCTTCTACAGGGTGGTGTATCTATAATGATGAAGGATCTTATTTGAGATATTTGAAAATACATATTGTTTCATTTAATGTTATTTGTTTGACATCGCAACAACATAGCCCATTGCAGTTCCTTATAAATGCACATAAATTGAAATTCGTTGTTGATACCCGTTCTTCATTGCAAGGGTGTAACAGTGACCTTTGGTGGAAAACGGGTGAATATTTTGTTTTTGTTAAATAAAATATTTTATTTTATATTTTGTAACAAACGGGTTGCGTTTCAATTTTTATTTCTACTTTGGTTGTTTCTATCGATAAATATTGACTCAGTCGAAACAATTTCATCTCTCACACCTTTGATGCATATATACACTGGTCCATAGAATCCGAATAATGTTTTACACATGTGTTACTGCATTTATAAATCAATAAATCCTAATAAAAGCAATCATAACTGCGCCTGATTTGGAACCTCTGTTGGGCTCACGGCTGTTGTACTTGTGTTAATGTTCGTTTCAATTGGCGTTGAAATACTGGAATCGACAGCAGTAGCAGTAGCGGATGCAGCCAGTGCAGCTGCTTCATTGGCCTTCATTTGTTCTTCCATTTCTTTCATTCGACGTTCATTAATTATGGCCTGATCGTGAACATATGCATTCATCACCCGTTGATTTACATTGCTAAATTTCAGCACACACTTGTCCAGGCAATTCGACTCCTCCGCCGACAGTTCTCTTGTGAAAAAGTTATCGGTACAGTGTAAAAAGCATTTCTCTGTCAATTTGTTGTAGAGTTGCAGAAAGTCTTTGAACTAAAAATACAAAAATGAAAAATATCCATTGAATAATTGCAAAAATTTTCAGATTCATTATTTTAATGCTTACATTTCGAATTTGACTATCCATATTGTAGACCGAATCAAATGAGGAACCAATGTTTTTTTTTCTTCTTCACAATTGAAAAATATTTTGCTTAAAAATACACCTTATGAGTATAACAACGGAGAGAAACGTCAATATTGAGGTTAGGTTTTGACAGTCCATAGTTACGCGTTTCCATAGACAATTTGAAGAGACAGCATTCAATGGTGTCACATACTGACTCCCTATAGTCTGCATAATGGAAATAAATTATATCGCTAAATAAGGCATCGACGAGTATCGGTCGATAATATTTCGATGCAGACCAATCGGTCGTTCATAGTTCATTGTATGTCGTCTCATTGCCTCTTGAATTTCTTGAACGGTTATCGGTTTGATACCATCTTCACCTCTACCTTGTGTCACCTCTGGGCATGCATGCATCATGGCGTATGAAGTGCCTGAAAAGAAGAAAACGAAATTGAAATTATGCGATTTCTTCAATTGAACATGAAATTCGCCCCTTACCCGATGCAGAAATGCGATGGTATGGCTCAACGGAACGATTGCTTGAATCGAGTCGCGTCAGAATGGCATAGTCAACAAGCGTAGCTATTGTTTCATGCACCAAATATCCCAATATCGTGTACACATGCCCAGATATAACAGCTCCCGTTGGCGGATTAATGAGATTCTTCAATTTTGTTTTGATTGTGGCCGAATTTCGGCAATGGAATGACGTTCTTCGTGCTTCATTGTATTCGGCATACTGTTGACCGTTCAGCGTCAATGAGATTCGATCGGCACGGAATAATCGGCGAACTTTTTCTTCGTCATATCGCTCCGCAACTTCCTCGGGTTCTTCAAAGTTTTCCTCATCAAAATCCTCTGCATATGTCATGGGTCGACCACTGATCATATCCTGGTAACGACGTTTAAAATCCAAGTCTTTCAAGTGTTTTTGCAACCGAAACAGCTTCGTTGGATGTTTTCGCATCATAAACTCGAAATCTTTTTGTGTTGGTTGTGGTTTGCCTTTTCGTTCGATCGCCACATTGATAACATCAATGAGCATCGACCGCATTTGTTCGATTACAATTTTCTCCACTAAAATCACCGATTCAGCCAGCGGTTGTTCACAGTCACCGTAGCCGCGCATTATATCCGATATTTCTTGCATAAATTGCGGCACATATTCGGGTTTCTCTTGTTTTTCCTGTGCCGTTGAATTCACTGCTCCGCCGGTTGTCGCATTTGATGTGGAATTTCGATTCGATTGCTTTTTTCCTCCGCCGGATGCCATGGTCAATAAATCCAAAATCTCACTCGAGCACAACACAAACCAAAACAAAATCAACACACAACAACATTGCATTCGATTGACAGTTTGCAAGTGTCAAACGATTTGCTCAATATTGAAGATGTCGCTCGGGTGCTATAAATGATAATGCAACGCAATTTCACAACATTCAGTGAAATATTGAAATTGTTAAACAACAGCAACAGCAGTCGAATATTCTCGAGCTAATTGCATTTCTTGGTGCAATTCACGCGTGTCATTACTCATTTTTTGTACACATTTCAATCAAGTATCATCTCATTTCATTACCGTAAGTCACATCGATCACAACATATTTTTTTATTCGCATTAATTTGCTATCGGTTTCCTTACAGCTGTTGGTGTACATTCGAGCAAAACGCGGTTTTGTTTATATACATACGTGAAAATGTGGCGAGAAATTCAACAAGCAAAAGACGAGAATAAGCGAGAGATTAAGCTGGCTGGTGCTGAGATCAGTGAACGAATCGAAAAAGATGGCATTGACATCAGTCTCTTTGCATTGGACGCATTGAATTTGCTCAACATCAGTGATACATCACTGAAAGTACTGCCGCTTGAGATATCTAACCTCATCAATTTGCAAACGTTGTTGTTGTACGGCAATGAAATTGCTACAATACCCGATTCGATTGATCGCCTGGAAAAATTGAAAGTTTTGGATTTGTCGCGAAATAAATTGGAAAATGTGCCGCATACAATTACGAAATTGCACAATTTGACGACAATCAACATCTCAAACAATCAACTCACGGCATTTCCAGCGCTGAACAATTTCACAAAACTGTCCGTGATTGATTTGTCAGGCAATCAGCTCACCGAATTCCCAGACATCTACTCCAGTGACAATAACAACTTGTCGGAGATTTACTTGAAGGAAAATTCCATCGAATCTATTCCGCATGTCATCGATCAATTGGTTTCACTGAAGCATTTTTCAATGGCCAAAAATAAGGTCAATAAAATTCCGAAAAGTTTGGCTAATATCACCAAATTGAAAGGTAAGGACTTTGTTCAAGCAGTCGTTTTTTCATGACGTTCAGTTTTTACTTTACTTCTTTTCATCATCTTTTCCAATGAGAATAACATTTTTTTCTCTCATTAAAAGATCTCGATCTATCAGAGAATCCGGTGGCCGATAAGCGATTGTTGAAGTTGATTCAGCAGTGTCGAACGAAACAGGTGCTTGACTATGTCAAGCAACACGGCGAAGATGCACCAAAATCCAGTGAAAATGACTCTTCTTCGGGCCAAAACAAGAAGCAGGGCAAGAATAAGAAGTCGAAAAAGAGCGAAAGTTCGGATGAACCAAAGCACAAACTCAGTGTGAAACGTCATAATGATGACACAATCAAGGTAGGTATTATTATACTGATTCATATACAAAAATAGTTGGAAGAACCGGAATCTCATTTTCCCCACGCAATTTTTAGGTTATTTTTGACGATGCAGTCAAAGATGTTCGCCAGTTCATATTGTGTTGCATCGTAGAGAATGTGAACTTGAACAATGGCAAGTTCCGTGAATTTTTGCAAATTCAAACCAAGCTTCATGAGACCGTTTGTGGCAAACGTGAAAAGTCCACCATTGCAACTCATGACTTGCAGAAATTGCCACGTCCATTGGCAGCTACAGACCAATACATCGTTCATTATACAGCAAAAGATGCGAAAAGCTTAAAAATTCAGCCATTAAACAAAAACAAAGTGGTTACAGCACAATCGCTGTATAACGAGTTGAAGGCTGAGGCCGAAGCAATTCGAAAGCAGAAGCAGCGCAACACATATTCGGGCATTCACAAGTATTTGAAACTATTGGAAAATAAAACACAATTTTCGTGCGTTGAAGATGGACTCGGAAATGTCATTAGCCTGCCGCCATTGACAAATGGTGAAACTACCAAAGTGAGTCGTATTAACTAATTATTAAGAATTCTTGAATATGTTGATGAATAGCTGCATATTTTAGAGAAATTCAAAGATTTCAAATTATAATTGAAAATGAATTTTTGCTTTAGATTTCACCCGAAAGTACCCAAATCTTCATCGAGATAACGAGCCATTCAGCGATGGCCGATTGCGTGGACACAATGGAAGCATTGCTCAAAGCAATGCTATTGGCCGGACTTGGTGCTAGTCAAAATGATTCATGCGATACCACGAGCAAAACGCTCGACATTCGCCAGGTCAAGGTAACCGACGCCGAAGGCAACTTACGTCGAGTATACCCAGCCAAAAGTGATCTGGTAATCGATGAAAGTGAAAATATCGGCGTTGAACGCGAATAAAAACGGCACTACAATCTAATCATTTAATCATTTCAATAATATATTTTTACTTATAAAAAATATTCAAGTTTTTTCTAACATACAATGTTTATTGAATAAAAAAATGTTTATCTCTTTTTGAACCGAATATCGAGTCTATTGGTTTTCATTGTTTGTCAAATGCGATCGTATCTCTTGGTAGAAATCTAATAAATGGCCCTGGGATTGAACTGGTGTGGCTAGCGATTCATTCACAGCACTTTCAACATCTTCATTTAGATAGTTGAATTTTCCTTTGAGTTTCTTCATTGGCTTGTTCAGATCAACTGGTTTCGGTGGTGGAATAGGTGGGTCAAATGCCATCGCTGAACAATCGAATTTCTTGAACCATTCGACGGGTGTTCTGAAATAAGAAGTGAAATTATTCGTTGTAGTGGCATAATTAGTGTAATTAAAATTTAATCCATTTGAACTGTTCAATGCAACCAACTTACAATTTGCTAAATTCTGGAGCCAGTGATCCTTCTCCCGTTCCTGGTACTCCATGTGCAATGTGATTGGCTACCTTTCTTACTATTGGGTGATAATGCCGTAGCAAAGCGGCCAACTCATACAATGCAGTGCAATTGGCATTACAATACTCTGGATCATCTAGTTCCGGATCGTATTTACCCGAACCGATGCTTGTGTCCGCATCCAAAAGAATCTCAAATGATGACGTTGCTTGCATAACGCTTTTTACGATGCCCAAGGAGGCAACCGTTCCATTGCTTAACAACTGCAGACTCAGCGTGACAATTCGCTTAATAAAAGCCATCATTCGCGATTGCGAGATATTCTTGCGTCGTTTCACCAAAACTTCGATCAAAGTTTTCAAAATGATTTGGAAATCATCATGATTTTTACCAGCACTACAAACCAGCAAATTACGATAAAGATGGCCATAGAATCGGAGTGGATCTATATTCAATACTTCTCCTTGACCCGAAAGGATGGTGAACACGGTTTGCACACAATGCAACTGCTCGCGATAGCCGAGCTCAGCCGTTTCCATTATGTGATGCAACACCTCGACCAAATCGGAGAAGAAATCCAAATTGATCGTATGGGCAAATCTGAAAATGAGAAATTTTTAAACTTCAGAAGACGAACATTATGCTATGAAACATTAGAATCTTTTGATATCTTCAAAATGTCACTCACTCTGCCAGTCCCTCCAAACACGCGCTCAACAACTGTGAGCTTGGGTCATTCTTCAAAATACGAAACAGTATCGTGAACACCATTTTGGTGATTTCGGTCAATTTGGACGTTTTCGACTGTTTGTTCTCTTCCGCTTTGGCTTCCTGCAGCTCTTTTTCCACTTCTTTCAATTTCTTCATTCTTTTTTTCTCTTTCTTCGACATATTGATCAGACGCGATTTTTGTGCCTCCATCTTCTTTTGCTTCAGTTCTTTCTCCTTTTCATCGTCCAAATTGATGCTTTTGATTTGAAGGGCCAACAGACATCTGAGCACCTCAACATGAACCATATTTGATTTGGCTTTGATGAGATGATTCAAACGACGAACGACCTAGAAACAGCAACAGAAAAAATCATCAATAAATTTCATCAATGGGTACCTAGCAAGTAGCTACTCACAAAAAGTGACAAATCAAATTTCGAGTCTTCGCGGAACAATTGTTGGAAGCATTCCATCACTTTGGTACGAATGGTGAGAATGTTACAGTTCGACAAATACACCAAGAGTTGGGCGATGTTTTGTGCAAAATTGAAATATGGATGTGCTACGACCAATTCACACAAGCAAGTTGTCGCTATTTCAGCCATTTTCCGATATTCTTGGGACGTTTTGCGCTGACCTTTCGAAATGCCACTGGTCAATTTCTCGAGTTTCTGCAAATACTTCTTGTAATGCATGAGCAGTGCATCTTCATATGTCACCCGCTCCATTGTTGTCTTTTTTACTGCAATTTTTCAATCAAAACAAAGTCATATAAGACAGAATTCTTTTAACATAAAAATGATTTTTTTCAATCCACCCAAATATCCAATTAAAATTACCTTTTTGTGTTTTTAAATCAATTTGTCCGATTCGATACTCGGGCAAAATGTCCTTGAAAACCTCCAGCAATGACATTGTTGCGATTTTGCGAACGCTGAACAGGTTTGGTGTGTCATTGTGTCGTTCGTCCATCAACTCAAACAGAGCGTTGAAATTTTTCATTTTATCCTCTGGCTTCTCCAGCAAGCCCGAGCAAATGATACCAATGCGATATTTTTGTCGATTGATCTCTTGATCACGCAAAATGAGCAAATCTGCCGTGGAAATAGCCTTATCCTTAACAGCTGCTGCCAAGTCATTTTGTTCGCCCTGAAGATCGTTGACAATATCATCATCTGAGTCGACAACTTCCTCTTCTTCACTTTCTTCTCCATCATCTTCAGGCTCTACTTTGGGCTTTTCCTTAATTTCAACCTCTGTTGATCTCGTAATGAGTTCACCGCTTTTTGTTTTAATCGGCAACAGGTCGACGGTTCGCATCTTTTTCGATTTTTCAACATTGCGTTGATGAGCGTATTCCTGTTCGAATTGGCCAGCTTCATCGTCACCTTGTTCTGTATCTCGCTTGCGTTTTTTCGACCGATTCAACAGTTCGTCGTCCTCATCTTCGATCATATCAAGCAAATCTTGAAGATCTTCTTCGTTCATTTCATTCTCATTGTTAGCCGAATTGCCATTTTCCATCGGCTTCTCAGACTGTGAAACATTTTTTCCCTTTTTACCTTTTTTCGGTCCAGCGCCGTTCTGAACCGCTTCAACTTTCTGGACTTTACTTTTATTCACCTTCTGTCCGATTGGTTTGCCGAACACTTTTTTACTCGCAGCCAATTGTTTTTCGGTATTTTTGTTGTTTTTCACATTATCCTTCTTTTTGCCCGGTCGTGCAAAATTTTTCTTATGTTTTATGTGCTGCGATCGCTTCACGCCACTAATTTTCACCTTTTTCTAGAATACAAATTCGAAATTTATGTTAGAATGATGGGGAAAATGGGAATAATTTTGCATTTTCTTACCGCCATCGTGTTTTGTCGGCACTTTGCAGCAACAGAAACGATGAAATGTGTACAATTTACTACAAAAGTCACTTCATGTCAATCCACGTGCTTCGTTGACAGCTAGGCCCAATGTGTCAAATGCGATATGTCAAAAATGTGATCAGTTTATTTCGGTACTTGTTTATAAGTGTTGAACGTTAATTAACGTTTGGGTCTTGTGAGAAGTAAGACTGAAATAAAGCGGAAAAATGTCGAGATCTGATGATAAGGCTGGAAAAGTACGACAATTATTCGGTTTTATTGTATTTTTAACAAAATTTATCGTACAAAGTGTGTTTGTTTGGCATCGAAATAGATATGTATCGCAGATTCAGAGTCACCAACAAAAGAACAGTGAAACAATGGCCAAAATAGAAAGAAGATTAGAAGCAGTTAGGATCCAGTCTGATTATTTGAGATTGGTGGTGGTTTGGTGACTCCTTTGTCCCTATTACAATGGGATGTTTGGCAGCACGAAGTGCATAAGAAGAGTTTCGTGCGTCCGCCTATCAACTTGCAGTCGTCTTCACAATCCGATGCACACCGTTGCTCAAGTGACCACAGCTTCTGACTAGATGTTCCATTCACAGTTGTCGTGAATGCGTATATGAAACGCTCTGCACCGTGCATATGAACTCGTCATTTTTGCATTTCTTCATGATGCTCGACTGATTCTCGACACATATATCTCCGATCTCCACCGAATTGCACTTATAGCACCACAAATAACTGTGACGTTCTCCACCCGATTGAGCTGTATTTGTGAATGATTGCGTTTCAACTGATGCACCAAAAGAAGGAAAATAAAAAGACATTTTTTTAATATTGACTCTTTTAAACGCTGAATATTCAATTTACAATTCGTACAATGTGATAACTTACGTAGATTGAATAAAAATACCATATATAAAAATGCAAACGTATTGTTTCTTATAGCTCCTCGCATTTTGTCTAATTGAGCAAAGTTTTCTCCGATATTTTAAGCGATATTTTTTGTACAATCAGATTAGACCGGATTTTACTCTTTAAAAATAATTCAAATTAAATTATCAAAACAATATCTCTAATTTCTCTTACAGCCGTTATGAGTGTATTGAGTCGTTTGAGTCACTTTGTCGTTTGCTCAATGTGTGCTCAGAAAATTGACAATTTGACATTGTATCAATTTGATACAGTCAAATGCGATGTATGTCAAACTAGGTTCAGTTCCACACATGAAACGTTTGTAAACATTAAAATTTGTTTCTTTTTGCGTGTAATTGATTTCAATTGAAGTAAAAAGGGAAAAATGTCGGGATCAAGTGAGGAAGATGACTATATGTCCGATGCATTTCTGGCCAAAACGTAAGTTGATGCATTTTTTTAGTATATTCAATAAAACTTTATAAATCGTGTTTGTTAGCATTGAGACAGATGTGCGTCCCGGTTTAGTTTGTGATCACAAAATAGCACGACGCCTCAAATTGGAAGAAGAAAAGCAAAAATTAGAAGATGAACAAAAAGTCAAACAAAAACCAGTGAGGCAATTGGAGGCTGAACGTCGAGAGGAAGGTTTGAGTGCTGCTATTTCATCGGATAATAAAGGATTTGCCATGCTCGCAAAAATGGGATACAAGCAAGGTGATGCAATTGGTCGTTCGTCTAGTGGAATTGTAGAACCGATTTCCATTCAAGTGAAGAGTAACCGCGCCGGTTTGGGCCGAGAGACAGCTATAAAACAGTTGGAAGAGTACAAAGAAAGGTTACGCAAGGCAAAAAGTGAGCAAAATACCGAAACAAGTACTACATCATTACACGAATTCAGACAACGTATGGCGCAAAAGAATGTCGGGAAACAGTTGGAAGCAGACCTATGGTAATTGTTGCTGGGATTTTGTTGTTCATATATTTTTACTTAATCGATTCCATTTTTCTTTTTTTCTACAGTAAATGCCAGCGAGCATGCGAAAAACTGGATCTGGATGCTTCAATTGAAACACCAATTATGGCATTTTTCTGGCCTGTTCGCAAAACGGGTGAACTCACTGAAACACAAGAGGATCCATATGATGAAAATGTACCGCAAAAACCGAAAAAACCACGAAAAGAGTCAACGAGTAGTGAGGACAGTGAAAAACCAAGTACGAAACATTTCGGTTTTATGCCCGGCAGTAGCAGTGAGTCAAGCAGCTCTGAATCCGAAGAAGAGGAACCAACTCGGAAAATTGAAGAAATACCTGCTGAATCGATTAATGATGAAGAAGACGAATATGAGGTAGAGAATTTTTGGATCGTAATATTTGTAACTTTGATGTAGAGCATTGACAAAAATACGGCTATATACCAGACATGAATAGGCATTCCATCAAGGATTAACTTGAAATTGGAAGTTTTTCGAAGATAAAAACCGGAAATCGGATGCCTAATTACAGACAATTTTTTTTTTAAATAATACAATGCCTAATCAAAAATGTTTTTCTTTTCGTTTCTTTTTTGCAGACGTCGGAAAAGGTTGAAATGTTGACGACTTACCTTCGAACCACATACACCTATTGTCATTGGTGCGGCACACATTACCAAGATGTGGATGATATGGACTCAAATTGCCCGGGTACAACAAAAGATGAGCATTAAAACCAAAAAACAATGTCTAATGACGTTCAAAAAGTCAATGTGATGTAATAAAAATGCAACAAATTTCATTTTAAATATATCGCGTTTAATTACTACATGTTCAATGATTTGGATAGTTTTTAGTTTGAATTTTTGTTGGTTGTTGGCAGATTTAAATGTAGTTGTCGGATCGAAAGCCCTCAATAAATTGAACACGTATTCGGTCAATTAGAATACTTACACAAGTCAATTCATATAACAGGAGGAATAAAACGTTTTTCCTTAAAGAATATTCCATCGTTTTTTGTTTTTGTTGAGTGAAATGAGTAAAAATAAGTATGACTTAAAATATCGGACAGTTCGAAAAGGAAATGTTTCATAATTGTATCGTTGAAACTGGGAACAATTCATATACTTTTCAACTATTATATTCATAAAGAACAAAAAAAAGAACTTCATATCTACGGTTCATAGAGCAATGTGTGTTTTTTTCCTTCAAGCTATCACTATCCGAGCGGAATAATATTCAATAAAATGCATTTCATGGAAAATCAACAACGAATTGTGTCAATTGTCACTGAACAAAACAAGGAAGAATTGATTTTTTTTTGTATTTTTGGCGAGAGGTAAAATCTACTTAACATTTAAAATGATCGAATATGTGATGGCTCATCGGAAAACCGGCGGTGTGTTTTGCTCTTTTCAGCAAAAAAAAAAATCAACCGTTAAAACCTGATATCGTTTTCTTTCGTTTCTACATCATTTTTCCTTCGACTTTTCTTAAATACGCTGCAGTTCCGAATCTATATATCACTCGGCATGAATCATCAATTCACGCTTATCAATTAATAAATAAATTATTTACACTTGATTCCGGTCACAAGCAATATATTATTGATGATGACGCATGAGTGTTTCGACTGAATCATCATCGCACGCATTACACCACACAGACTCCAGGACGTTGTCAACAAGTGTTGTAATGATTTGGTGTGGCTAGCAATTTGGCGACTATCATGATGAATATGCTAATGAGTAATGTTTCGATCGGATTATTGGGTACAATTGATAGTTTGGCCGCTCCTTTATCCGTATTGCAATACGATGTTTTACAGCATGATGTGCACGCATACAATTTGGTACGTTCGCCGATTACAATACAGCCCGCCTCACAATTCGAAGTACATCGTCGTTCGAGTGACCACAATTTCTGACTGGATGTCGCATTCTCAGTGCTGGTTGTGTATGAAAACTTCTGTACCATACAGATAAACTCATCATCTTTGCACTTTTTCAAGAAACTCGAGTAATTGGCTGTGATATTCTCGACACATGTGTCACCAAATTCCATCGAATGGCATTGATAACACCACAAATCATTTGGACGCTCTGCAGCTGCTTGCGTCTTATGAATCGTATTTGTGAGTGATTGTGTCTCAGCTGAAATGAGACAAAATTGCATTTTTTCCTTCTTTTGCTTAAATTTCCATCTCACATAGCACAATCACTTACCTGAATTAAATAAATACATCAAATATAAGATGATAAACATTTGTACATTCTAATTTATTTGAACTAGTTTCGAATGAAAATTGTGTCCCTCGTTAAAATGTCAAATATGCAATAAATCGGAGGAATTTCAATTGGAAATGCAAATCACATGTGATTTAATCACGGAATAGTTGATAAATTTGATGGAAAACTTTATTGAAATTAAATTCGTTGGATTTTTGGTTTCATTTTTATGTTTTTTCGAGGGACGTTCCGATATGCAGCCTAGTAATTTTACACAATTTTGGCAATAATTGAATATACGTTCGGTTGCGCATGATCCGTGTCAATGGAATAGGTGAAAGAAATGATTCGCTATGCCTTCTTTCTGCCACACTCTCCCAAAATCCTTCCAGTCATCTGACTCTGGTCGAACGGTGGAAATGTCAATCAGTTGCAAACGTCAATGCTACACGCAGCCGCATCATGTATAAAGACTAGAGCAAAAGAATGTCACATTCTCCTGCTTCATCGACAAAATGAGCAAATATAAATTGTCACTAGAGCAAAGTTACTCTATCGTGTTTGTGGCGTTATTTGAAATCATTTGTTTTTCAACGAAAATCGGACTTGACGTCGTGATTGGAACATGTGCTTAAAGAAGACGTTAATTTTTGAATTGAACATTCAATGTGGTTACGGTAGGTTCGGTTTGTGTTTGGTGATAAAGCAAATTCAAAAGCAACGGAACGAAAAGTCGCACAGTTTTGCTTGTCGGCCGATATCGAATATTTCGGTAAATGATTCAAAGAAACACCGAAAATGACAGAAAAATAGACCACAAAGCAAAGTACCGATACACAAAATCACATATACTATGTAAATGCGGCCGATCATTATGCTGGTTGTCAGTGTGCGTGTTTATGTGTTTGTTTACTGCTCTCATTCAGCCACTGGGGGAAAAAATTTCCATTAGTATTTGTTATTTGCTTGAGATGAGCAACCAAGTAAGCAAACTGTTTATTTTTATTGAACGTGACGGTCGGCAGATATACCAATTTGCTGTTGCCACAGTTTGTTTGTGTCGCCTGTTTTTCACATATCGCACGACCAAAGTGTTTGTGTCGTGTTTTTTTTGTGTCATTGTTTCGTTTCGGGGCTGCTCTTCGATAATCGCAAAAATTGTTATTTACATACCGAGTTCAAGCACTTTGAATCGAATTGTGTATGAGTTGTTTTATTCGGATGATTTTACATTCCATAAATAAATCGGTATGCACATTAAAAAAAAATAGAAACTTGTATAGATTACATGGGTGCAAATTGATAAGTACATTGTCAATAGATTCCGTTTCTCGAACGAAAACAGATCCGAGAAAGTGAGAACGAATTGAATTTTGTAGTGTAATCCAATGTACCACACATCAACTCCTTTTGTATTCGTTTAATGTGCTGCATTTGCATGACTAGTATTAGAAGAAAAAAAGTGACCAATTGACATTTTTAAATCGACTGATTCGAACAATATCGCTTTACTCATCGAAATTCAGCAATTTTTTTTTTGCAATGAATGCCATTCTAATGGCAATTCAAAAGTGATGCTATCAATTGTTCACCATAGAGATTTTTTACGGAGAAAAAAATACCAAGTGGAAACTAAATCAATTTGAACTGATAACGTTATTTTCATTGTGAAATTTCATAGCGCTTTATTTTCTGCGAAGTGACATTGGCGTGGACGCAGAGAATAGCGACAGTCCAATCGAATTGAGAAAATGTGCTCGGTTCGCCACTTGTGATTATCTTGTAAAGCAAATCGTTTTATTTATTGGCAAGAAGCATCACACGAAGCTCCACGAAGTCGCATGCCACCGATTTTTTTTTTCTCCCTAAGATGTATTTGCGTGTGTGCATGGGCTCATCTCGCCCGTGATGTGCCACTATAGACAACAACACGAACAAAATCGCGAGATAAATGGTTGCAATTTTTTGCGTCGATGAACAAATGTACAATTTTATTATGTCAGTTTGCTCCTTGTGGTTCGCCCCATCTCGATTTCTCTTATCAATTATTTATTTTGATTCGTGACACTTTTTTGCCCCCGGGACATTTCATTCTCTCTCTCTCTCTCTCTCTACGCAACGCCATTTTAAAATTGCCTATCAATTTCAGCAAGCAGAGGGAACAAATGTAACTCTGACCGAACGAATAGACAAGACGAAGGAAAAATTGAATACGAAAAAAAATATCGACTGAATTTTGATAAATATTCAATTTATTGAAGCATACAAAGCAAGCGATTCGACTACAAACGGCGTGATTATCGCAAGACGAAGTAGTGGTTTGTTTTTTTTGCTTCAATTATACATTGATTGTACAGTATTTTTTTGCCCTATCGTATCTCACTCAGTGAATTTCATATTTATTTACGTATTTCACATTGGCTGGAATTAGTTACTGATCCTACGTCCCGAGTGAAAGTCGATAACGAGCAAATCAACTGAGAAATAACTCACGCTACGAGACTGAAACAATTTTCTTTTTCGAATAAAAAAAGTGAAAATATAGTGTTAAATCGTTCCGCACAAAAGCAATCAAATTCGACGCAAAATTTGCATTTGAGAGCGGCATTATTAACAGACAATCTATACAAAAGACTTGACAGAGGAAAATACTCCAAACGAAATTCTCAGACGAATAATTTATCAAGAGATTTTCATCTGAACGATCCCATGCAGTTTTCCACCGAAATGAATTCCATTGACATCTACAACGCAATGATGACACAACACAAAAGCCGTGACCAAAACAGTAATTTTTATCACCCTAAAAAAGGTACGTTTCCACTCATTCACACTAGTTTTATTTTTTTTCATCAATTTTGTCGGGTTTAAAGTCTGAGGCAACGTCGCAATTTAATTGCATAACACTGAGAACAGTCATGGAGATTGATTGATTTCTCTGAGTCAGAGCGATCTTTGTGTCGATTTCTCGAAAGATAAACGCATTCATGTTCTTGAATGAAAATCGTAAAATTCCGATGAAATCGTGAAATTGTCAGCATCTCTCTCTCTCTCTCTTGACGTCAATTGCAGCGGAAACAATCAAGAACATGCTAGAAACATTGATTGAAAATAACAAAATTCGTTGGATCATCGGGTGCAAAAGCAAAAAGTCTGCCACAAAAAAGAACACCAAACGTGATAACTGCCAACAGCAACAAAAACCAACGACAAATATTTAAACGAGGAATAATTTGTTGTTGTTTTGACGTTGTTAATCGTTTGCTGGTGATAACACCAAGGGAGACAAAACCTAGAATTTTCACTACGCAGTCGAAACAAATGACTAGTACTTGGTACTGGTTTTTTTTCACTACTATTGCAAGGCATCCGGAAGTTTATTGCACGGCATCCGGAACGAGGTGATACACTGGGGGTATATAAAGTCAATAACAAATAATCCTGAACATCATGATTATTTTATTGTTTACGCATTTATTTGAAATTATAACGTCATCATTTTTTGTTTATAAAATGTGCTGTTTGACGTTTGTGACACGGCCACTCGTCCGTTCTGACAATGTTCGAAAAATATTAGTTTTAATTCAAAAAATTTTGTTTCGGAGTTTGTTGCAATACACATTATCGCTTGAGATTATTGATTAGCAGCTTGTTTGAATGCAACAGTGTAACAAAATAACGCATCAGCAGCACAAACAAAATCAGATCAATCGCGATTGATCCGTGTGTACGCGCATCGCGCACGCTCCCGCTCACTCGAGCGCGACCATTTTAGGTTTTTTCTTCTTCTTTGCATCGTTCAACAATTTGGCAATCAATTTGCCGTTGCTCCCTCAACTCCAATCGTTTGCCGCGTTATCAAAACCGTTTTTTGATTTAACAAAAAGCCAGCGAAAATATTTGTCGCTTGACATCAATGTAACGTTGTTCAAGTGACACATGAACAAGGCAATGGGTTCACATGCCAACTGACTCAGCCCGATTAATTTCTCTTGTGTGTTTTTTTTTGCGTCACACTCTCTTTAAAGCCACATTAATAGCATAAAATGATGGGATTATGACTCGATGACTAATGGGAAATTTTTCTTGTTTTTTCTTCTAGGTTCATCTGAAGAAGAATCGGCTGCAATTCGAATGCGTTTTCCAACCAAAATTCCGGTAAGTTTTAATTGAGCAAAAATTGCTGTTTGGGATTTGAGGTTAAAACAAGCACAAAATTTTCGGTCATTAAATTGATTCATTAAATTTAATGATGTGTTTTTCTGTCTCGGCCATTTCAATAGATTATTGTTGAACGATACTCCAAAGAGACGGACTTGCCGCAATTGGAAAAGCGTAAATTTTTGGTACCCCAAGAATTCACGATGTCACAGTTCGTCTCGATCATCCGCAGTCGCATGAAGGTCGGCCCAAGCAAAGCCCTATTCTTCTTGGTCAACAACCGTTCGTTGGTATCGCTGAGCAAAACATTGGCCGAAATTTACGCTGAAAATCGAAGCGACGACGGTTTCCTCTACATTCATTATGCCTCACAGGAAGTCTTCGGTTAATGAAACAAAACAAAAAAACTGGCGATTCATAAACAATATCTATACCTTTTTTCACATTTATAGTCTAATATTTTCGAATGAAACCATATATATTTCCAATTTTGTTGCTGTGTATGTGTGTGTCGGATCCGCTCAAGATACGAACGGCAAATCCGAAAAACCAGCAAAAAGAATAGACCAAATATTATGGCCCGAAAACATTTTTAATGTGCGATGAAAACAAAACAAAAACCATCGAATATCGCCTATTAGAGACAGGGAAAAGAGACTATTTTGAGCATCTGCGCGAAACGTGCGCTTATCACCAAACAATCGCATATGATAGAAATGTTTGCAATTCACACATTTATAAAAAAAATGTACTATCAGCATAAGTCATGTGACTGTGGTTTTTTAGCAAAGCTGTCGATTAACATTTAACATCTGACTGGCACACACTTGAACGCCATGCTCTAATCCATACCGTGAAACAATTCAAGATTAGTCCAAGAACAAACAGGAAAAAAACGAACGAAAAATAATGAAACAATACTAATCGCGTTAAATTGTTCTATTAATAATAACAGGCATAGCATTTTTATTAGTTAGATTGTCCTATAGGACGTTTAATCGAAGAGAAGGCATAACGATTATCGAGCAATGTTTGAATTATGATTATTATTTTCTATGGTATTTTTATGTATATTTTTGATGATGTAAATTTAACAAGTATTAGCCATGTATTTTGCATTTAACGACATATTCGCATTATTTCATGTAAATGGATGCAGTTTCAACAGATTAACCATGAATAATTGTCCAATTTTTTAACATAGAATACGGAAATAAATTTAATATGTGAAATTATCTGAAAATACTTAGGATAAGCCACATGAAATGTTAATCATTTTGATTTTTCTATGACTTAATATACTTAATAAAACTTATTTCACACCGGATTTATTAATACCAACAGCATTGAGGTTTTCAATTGAGATTTTATTTGTCGCTATAGTTTACTATACAGTTTACTATATAGCTATCCCTTTTCCGCTCATTCATCATCGACATTTTTTCGCTCAACTTTTCTGTATTACATTTTCGCTCCAAACCATTCATATGGAGATCTTATTCCTTAAGGCCATCTTCTTCTTTCGATATTGAATGGTATTTTAGGTTAGGTGGAATCGTTCGTTCCGAACTACAGAGACGTAAATTGGAAAATAATCAACTATGTTCTTTCATTTAGTTTAACTACTGAGAGTTTGAGTAAATATACTACTTTGTTCTGCGCTTTCGGAACGAAATAAATTGCTGAGTACCGTGAGTTTTAATTTTTCTCGAGCCGAATTCCAAAATCCAAGCATTGGCATCGAATGCATTGATTTCGGCATAGCTCTCAAAAAACTCGGCAAACGTATTTGGCTCAATGGCATTGCCACTGATTGGATTGTATGCGATAAATTTCCTAATCCGTTTACAATTGAACAAAAAGTAAATGATTGCATCGATGGATGTGGTTCCTTGACAATCATAAACGATGCCCATTTCCTTCAGTTTGGGCAGCTGATTCACCAATCCGATCATATTCCCGCTGTACAAATCGTAATTGGAAAAATGGTCTTCGATGTACAATTTATCGCTTGGGTTGTTTTCAATGAATCTGGCGATATTGTCAAAGTTCGCCGTCGTTGATGAGTTCCAATCGTTAGAAATAGCCACAGTCAGATCGTTCAATCGATGTGATGAAATTGGAATTTTCGATAAAAAGTCCGGCTTTCTAACCAGAATCTCTAATTTTTTGAGGTTATCAAACTCGATACAACCAAGACCATAGCTGCTCTGTTCATTCAAATGGTGTAGATCCAATGCGAGGCTATGCAAATGTGGCAACTTTTGTTGGACAAAATATAAAAATTGTCTATTCACACGAATACCAAAATCATCTCTGCCTGCTTCGTCGTCAGCTAACTTCAATGCGCACAATTGTGGGTTCAATTGTATGGCGATTTTCGCATTTGAATCAGTAATCCTTGAGTTATAGTCATTGTATTCGTCCAGAACAAATTCTTCGTTGCTCAAATTAAGCACTTTCAAATGGGGAAAATGTTGTTCGATGCATTCTGATGTGTCGAACTGCATCGAGCTTAGCTTCAGCAATTGCATATTTGGAAACCATGTATTGAATTGTGACAGATTCTCGGACAAATATCCATTGATCAAGATCAGATCGCGAACGTTTGGAAACGGTCGCCAAATCGTTGACAACGTATCTTCGTCGATGTTGATCAGGTGGAGGCAGCGCAACGATTGGTAGCAAAAAGACAGAATTGCGTCGTCAACCATCAATGCCATTCGATCGTCGTCGTTATCGTACTTGACATACAGGTAATCGATTAAATTTCCAAAGCGTTGCAGTAATTTTAGGTCGAACGGAACCTTATGTTTGCCATCAATACAGTCGATCTGAACGCATGTGCCGTTCTTTTTGTAGAATACTTTCTGAAGAGATCTAGCAAATTGGAAGCATTTTTGTGCGAAACTAGTTTTGGTGTTGTCCCATCTCCTGACTGCCTGATCGGTAATTTCAGCGGCTTCTGCAACGTTGGTGAGATCCGATACAGCTAAATAGTCCCATATTTTTCTCAAACACCGACCATTCAAGTCTAACAACGTCGCCATTTTATCAAATCAACCAGTGTGTGACCTCTTTGAATGAACAAGTTTTGATTCAATTGAAATATTTCGTTTCAAAACCAATACAAATATTTGTAAATACCTTTGAATTGAATAAAATAAATGACCTCTTCCAAAAAATGCCATCAAAAGCCAAAAAAAATCGACACAAATCCGTGTTACATTTGTAGAGAGAAACAACAGAGTTTGCAACAGCAAAGCAAATGTCAAAGTACTTGTGCGATGAATTTGAACCGTTTGTGTTCAATATGTGTGTGCTCTGCTTCAGATCTGTCATATTTCGTTAGTTCGCATTGTAAGAGAGCATACTAAACCGATAAAGTGATGTTGACTAATTGTCAATGTGTGCTATGCGACATGAATACTGTAACGTTTAGTGGCCCATGCACATAAAACGAACAAACTGTTGTTTGAATTGAACTAATGACCAAAAACCGAAGCAATATGCATTGGTTCAATTTATCAAAGTTATGCAATTATAGGTTTACATTCAAATGAATTACAAAGAGGATTCATTTGAGTGAACGATAATTTAAGGCTTGATTTCAAATGATTAAACTCCAGATATACTTTTAATCCATGGGCGCGTGCGTAGATTCTCGGATAATTTGGTTGCAAGCTAACGCGGATTGAATAATCATCTACATCCGAATCCGCACTGAAATACACAAGAAAAGTAAATTCCAATTGATGTAGAGGAGTTTTGAATCTTTTTCTCAAAAGATAGTTACCCACATGATACAATGAGCTGCACTCAAAACCCATTGCTCTGAAATGATAGACCCATCGAAAATATGGACCAACGGAATTTGTGAAAAAAGTTGTATTGACACTTGCCAGCGATTTTTCTCAATACTCGTTTCATTTTCACCGACAATTCCGTAACGATGACGATGGGAGAGTGGATTAGTGACCAAGTCAAAATTAAAATGTTAAGAAATTTCATTTCTTCCTCCAGAAAATTTGCTGCACTCTCAACCAATGGTCAGAGAGCAACTGTTGCACCGTCCTTGACATCTACCATATTTACAGTCGAAATATAATCAAATGAGTCAATTCGCGAATAATAAAATAATGATTAATGGCATTTTTCGTATTAGACATTTTTACGTCAAACATAATCAACGTTTTTATGCATCATGAACTTCGTTCAATTTAATTTCGGTCGATAATTTCTCAAATGAAAAGACTGTAAAGTTGAAAAAATGTAAATATCACTCGATGCATTTTCATACGTTTTACAAACAAAATGACTTGCGTTTTTATTCATGGAAATGGATTGATCAATGGGTTTTTTGGGATTTTTTATTTTCACGTTTTTGATAAATTTACATGATTTAAACTGCAAAAAATGTCGTTTCCATTGCTGCATAATTGAATAACGACTATATTTGGTAATTTTGGAAAGTGATGTAGTGCTATTTAAGACGTTGGAATTAAGATATTGTACAATATATATGTCGTGAATTTGGGATACAAAATCACGTTAATTCATTCAATGACGATGAATTTCATTGCATTTCAATGTTAATTTCTTCTTGCATTATCTCAGCCCAAAGCCAGCGCATCGTCATCACCTGCAAATATCTTCACTTGAAAAGATGATAAAAAATAAAAAATTAATTAATGGCAATTTGGTGCAAATTGCTGCCATCAATGAAATAACAGATTCATGCACGTTGAGCAGATACTTATTGATAAAAATCTAAACCACTGAAACTACTCGTAATGAAAAACCGGGATTGAAATAATGGCTTTTATTCAATCAATCAATATTTATATACTCTAAAATAATTTAACAAAATGTCCAACTTGGTTAGCAATTTGTTCCAACATTTGTGTTGCGTCTTTGGTAAAATTGTCTTTTTTTTTCCACTTTGTATATTCGATCAACACTATTTCCATGCCCTTATGATCTATTAAAAAAATCTTCTATTCCTAACACTCAATATACATTTAAATGTTAAACGTCGAGTTAAAATTCAAATTAAAAGCAAATTCGTTTTTATCAAAAAATCAACACCAAAAAAATAAAAAAACGAATGAGTTGAATGTCGAGAGAAAAAATGTTGGAAAAGGTTTTATAAAAACGCTATTGTGCGTTTGGTTAAAGATGTGATTGCCAAAAAATTGATAAATAATTTCGAAATTCTCCCACTCGATTGAAGATCCCATATATTTTATATTACTTATTTAAAAAAAAAAACGATTTATGTGAATCACGACATTGAGAAGACAAGAATTTGCGCGTGATCAAAATACGTTTTCAAATTAGATGAATATTTCGTTCCATTTAGCCCCAATTGAAATATCTCATTAAATATCCCAATCGTTTCGATAAGAATAATTTAGCGACTATACAATTCAAAGAAAAAAAATGAGAGACAAGCGAGTGCTGTCGTATAGCTAGAAACTAGTAATGTTTGGCCGATATAAGCCCTCGCAGTATGTCGAATGTGTTTCCGTCGGGATGTACACTCTCCGGTTCTTTATCTGGTTGTTTCACCAACAAGTATCCTAAATAAGATTGATATTCAATTAAATGATTGATCGAATGCAGAAAATAGGTCTGTTATCATTTTACCAAAGTCATCAATTCCGAAGATGGTTGCCAATTTTTTTTTTCCCGCGGCGTCAATAATCACAATTTCAGCATCACTGTGCAACCAATACTTGTAGTACATATCGTATAGGTGATCCAAATCACCGGCTTGCACAATATCAATCAGCTCTTCAATTTCATTAAACACAGACGCAAAGAAACACTCATATTCCAGGTACGGTAATTCAGTGTTATTTTTCAAGTTGTAGGTTTTGATTAAATCATTGACGCATGTCGTCGGAATGCTATTGCTCAAATTTAAGCCAACGCCAACATTGCAAATTGCCAAGCTATCGCTCAATTCGGTGGCAACGAAAAGTCCACCGATTTTCGTATTTCCATTCACATAAATATCATTTGGCCATTTTAATCGAATATCAAGTTTCTAGAATAAACACAAAGAAAAAAACACCCGAATGAATATTAAATATAAATATTTTGCCATGGAATGTGATAAACAAGCCTGTTGTTGATTGTTGACGGTCATCTTACCTTGTATTCGTCATGCTTCGTAATAATCGAATTGACAATGGCTACCGATACCAAGTGCTGTAATAATGGTATTTTTTTACCCAATATACTTGATAATGGAATGTGAAGCTGGAGCGAGAATAATGCACAACCATCCGGACTCAACCACTATAGATAGACATTATTAATTTACATAATTTTTGTTGCCAACGTTGTTGGATGAGCGAGTGCGTGTCATACGCACATTACCTGATTTTTATTACGACCAACACCAGCCGTTTGCTTGCGACCGATAACAGCGAGCCCATGTCGCATATTTAAATTTGACACTAATGTCATCGTGCTATTGATAACGGGTGCGTAGATTGTCAGCCGGCCTATCTCATTTGTTTTTAGCGTCTGTAAAAGTGAACAATTCCACAGAGTTTCAATGCGATTTTTCTCATTCGTGGCAAATCAATCAGAACGATTGCAATTTTTTTTTTAAACAAAGGACACTTACGTCGAAATATAGAATTGTGGAAAAATCATCGGGACAAGAATGCAGTAGAATTGGGAGTGTATTTTCGAGCTTTGCCTTGGGCACTTCATTTTTACCGTAGAATTTAACGATTAATGAACTCGTTTTTAGTGTGTTTGGGTGGATGAATTGCGGTCGAAGTTTGTCGAGAAGTTCGAATTTTGCCTGAAAAGTGCATTGGGATTGTTTAATTGGAACGTGTGCGAATTAGTTTGTTTAGAAAATGTGTGATTTGATGACATCATGTGTGCTATTGGTACTTATTGTATACACAACTCATCGAGCGATTAGCGTTATAAGTAGATTTATTCGATAATTACCTCGTGCCGGCCAAGAAAATACGCATTCGGAAACATATTCGTAGCGAGATAATCACGATTTTGTACGATCAATCCAAGCTGTGTACTCAACAAATCGGAAAAGATCTCCAAGCGGGCTTTATCACTCTTTCGAAGTGCTGCAAATTTCGAATCGTCATGCTCATACAGATTTGGATCAGCTTCAAGGTGGACCTGTGACGGAGAGGATAATTTGGAATTGTACATTTTATTAGGTTTAATTCGATTTTGAAATCAAATAGAGATAAAATTGCTTGAAAATGTGTGTTTTCTCATTTGAAAAAGAAAATCTTTGATTATCTTCCGAATAAATTTTGATCTAAAAGAATAAAAAACCTGTGAAAATACAGCAACTCCATTGTAATTGCTATCAGTGGCCAGAATGAGGCTAGGAGTATTCCATGTTTCTTCAGTGCCAAGCACTTTGACTTTTAGCCGATGCACATCTCCATGAAGATCTTTCAAGTCAATCGATCCGGGGCAGGTTAATGGTCTACAGAGTGCAACAAATGATTTATTAAGACAATTTTAATTGTTAAAAAGTTCCAAAATCAAATTTTCATAAATAAAAAACTAACGGTTTTGGTTGTCCATCAAATTGTTCATCGTTTTCGAGTGAGAAATGCTTCTTGATCGGTGATGGGTGATAGCAAAAAATGTGGTGCATCAATTGAATCTTCTGCCAGCGTCCATATGAAAACTGAACCAATTCACTCTCGCGTACTTCAGCTGTTCGGTAAATCGGTAGCACCATATTCAGTACGTCAGAGCATAAGCACAACATTTTGCCACCACATAAAAAGTACTCCATCAAAATGGATCCAAAATGAGGTGAGATTGAGCCGCACACAATCAGCAGAGTGGTGTTATCAATCCAGATGGACGTTTTCAATTGTTCAGCTTTCAGCTCGTATATGGTATACCGGTCGGGATGTAGAATGTTTTTAATGGTTGAAATCACATTTGCACGAATATCATTGCTTTCGGAATAAACCAAAACATTTGGTGGCTTGCTACCGTCGGAATGCCTTTTCTTTCGTTTCAAAGTTGAATATTGTGACGAGTGACACTCGGACGATCCCATTGATGAAGCGGATGTCTTTATGGTTTTCCTCTCAAGATCTTCACTGCATCCAGTATCGTGTTTAATATTTTCGTTCAGTTTTACAGTTGACTCTTTGGTGCTGTCAATGAAAACGTCACCACTTTCATCCCTTTCCGCAGAGCCATCGGATTTTTCGGTGGATTGCATGCTAACACTGAGCAAATCTTGTGATCGTTTACTCGAGCCCATCGTATCAGTATCTCGGAGAACAGCGCCGTTGCAAACTTTGGGCGAACCTTCGGTTTTTGCCGACGATAGACTTGGCGAAATACGTGCTATTGCATCCAATTCACTCGTGTCATGCTCAACACTCTGTATCCACTCTGCCACACCATTGTTCAATTTCGTGTCTTCTGCTTTCTTCTCGAGTATTTCTGGTACACAATTTCCATTCATCGGTTTGTTATCGCCAATTACCATACAAATGTCTTTTTCATAATCATCAGGGCTCGGTTCACTACGTAAATTAGCTACTAAATTCAGTATTTTCAGTTTATCTATGTGATGACGGCACTCGGTTTCAGTCAATGAAGATGATGATGCGGCGACAGCATGATTTTGTTTGGTGTGAATCGGTGACGGTTCCAGGTCGAGCAATTGTAGAGGCATTCCATTCACGGACACATCTTGAAATTGAAAGAATTTAGAAGATTTGGACATTTTCCAATTTATATTTTTCAGATTGAAAAATATAACGAAAAAAAATGGATAAAACCTGCATATCCAGCCATTAACTTACTCTCAATGCGTATGATCGGTAGGTAATTGTTGATGAACAATGTATTTTGAATGAATGAATCTCTAATCAGTTCGGTGAATAAGGTAACGTTGGATTTCAATACGATTGCTAGATTTGTATCGATTTTCCATGCGATGGGCAATCCGAATTTCTCCGCCTGAAACCAAGTAAAAGTTTAAAATAAAAAGCATTCAGAGCGTTTTCTTATCATCGTTGACACACAATTTTTTTTTTTTTTGCGCAAATCCATTATCAATTTGCCAAATGTTAACTTACAGATACGATGTTCTCTCCTTTTTCAATGGCTGTCATATCGGGGTAAATATTTGTTTCCAAAAGTATATGAACGATACTTTGATCATTGTGTGCGTCTAAATCTACGCCAATGGTAGTGTATAAAGGATTTAGGTTCGATGGTAGGTTATTAAAGGTCACCCATTTGTCAAGCGCTAAATTTTGTATCGGTAGAATTGAAACGCCGCGCAACATATTATGATACCATAATGTGTCCACCACACGACCATTTCTATAATTATCACATGCCTCTGATGAAGCGCCAATTGAAGTAAAACCTGCAAATGCACAAAACATTGTTAATCACCACCAACCGAGACATTAATCATCATTCGAAACAAGTGAATATCAAAAGAGACTGAATAAAATGGGTCATTTTCGTAGTAAATTTGTATTTTTACAGCTAATCGCCAAAAATCGCACATTAACACTCACCGTCATCACCTTCGGTGCATGTTCGATAGAACGATATGGAGCAATGGTCACGAATTTGACTCGCAATACCCGTTGTAATCGATCTCAAGCGCCACGATTGCATCAATGTCGCACCAGCATAGAAAAGTGTTAATATCATGTTACGTCAATCACTTTGAAACGCTTGTCGAAATGAAATGTATGGTTGATGTTGTTTTTTTTTTTAATTCTATGCCTAGTTTTCGTGGTCGCAGCTACTCTACGATTAGGCTAACCAGAACAAAAATACACTTGGGAAATTAACAAAAATTTCACTCAATCGAAATAAAAAAAAAGAATCACTTTAATCAAATGCTATTGCAAATCCACATCGTCGTTGGATTTGGGCGTACGATGACATTTTGGAATGAAAAAAATTTCGTGTTGATTATGCTAAGAATCTGATGAAATATTAAAATTTTATGCGAACATCTTTGCATTTGCTACTGCACGGCCCGTAGCAAATCGACAATGCCAATTTTGACGATTGGATAAGCTTTATACTGGAAGCGACGTTTCGCTCTTTTTCTCTTTCTCTCTCTCTCTGCGCTCACTCTTGGTACGCTCTCCTGGGAACGAATTGGCTATGTTTTTAGTTTTGTTTTTCCATTCACACCTCTTATCGTGTTGTTTTTACGAGCTAAGCTCGCTCCGACATGTGTGCTTGACAGTTCAACTGTCATATGTGATAATGCGAATGCGCCGTTCCAGTTTGACATTTCTTTTCTCCTCCACGGCGATGTTGGTAATGAAGATTCGGTTGGCGCTTGAATCAAATTCCATAGAATTGAATCAGAAAGATAGTGGAAATTTCTTCATTTCTTTTGAAATAAAACACATTTTCCGAGTCGTTTTTGGAATTTCTCTTATTTTTTATTTATGTATTTCTTGCAATTCAAATGTACACTTGTTGTTTTTGTTTTTTTTAATTCTCAATAACATTGAATTCACCTTTTCCCCATTTAAAATGTACCTACTTCTTTTCGGTTTGTTTGTCGACTAATTTTTTGTTTATGTTGCCTTTTTTGACATTCAATTGTTTTTGTTTTTCGTATTTTATTAATTCAAAGTTGTAATGTAATAATTTCCATCGTTTGAAATAGATTCGTCACATTACGTAAATCGTTCAGTTGAATGCACATTTTTTTTGTAAACTATACACAAATTCACATCGAAGTTTGTGCAAAAATGCCAAAATGTTTCTTTTCAAATAACATTTATTTATCGTATTGGTTGTAAATATTTTTTTTATGGTATCTTTTTTCTTTTGTTCTTACTCATGTTTTGTTCACTTCAGGCCACTCTCTGATTCATCTACCATTCATTTTAAATGTATCTGATATTGGGCCTGCAAAAAAAAATTACAAATTGAAATACTCGAGCAAAATATCTCGATTTGATTTTTTTCATGTTAATTTGTGTGCTTTTCAAAGGTTGCTTTCTCTTCAAAATGTTATTTGAATTTTCAAATACCTTCTCTATGAAAATGTATCTGCTTTTCGTGCAATTGGTATAGTTTTAAAACAACTAGGATGATAAAGTATTACATTTGTCTTCACTAGATTTTGTTGGTGTTGGCTGAAATCACGCCTCACTTTTCACTGTGTTTGATTTTTTTCTTACTTTGTTTGTCGTCGTCTTCATCATCGTCTTCTTTCTTTTAAATATGAAACCCGCCAAACCTATATAGTTTTTGTAATGACTTTTTTTTTTAAATATTTATAAATATTTTGTATAACAATAACAACGTTGCAAATTAACAATAATCTCAAAAATTAGTTTCATTTCCATTGTGTGTGTGTCTGTGTTTTGTGATTTTTGCTGTTATTTTCATGTTCAAACTCACTAAAAACTTGAATCTCAAATTGGAATCAAATCATGTTCTCAAATGTCGTCGTCGTCATTCGTCTCTGCCGACCGAATAAAATTAAATGACAATTGAATAGGTGTTGCAGTTGTAGAATTGAAATTGTAATTCGTTTCCATACTCTGTATTGGTTTTGGTTTTAAAGCAACGGGAATGTACTAAAATATATCTTTCATTGAATTTGTGATAATTAAATGCTGCGGGGAAAGAAATGAGAATCGAAAATGTGTTGGGAACTTTTCTTCTTCTTCTTCTTCTTCTTCTTCTGTATTAAAAATACAGCTTTGAGTGGGAGTGTTCAAAATATGTTTAAGCTGGGAGTGTGATCAAAAAATGGTGGAAAATCAAAAAGAAAATCCATTCGTTGCTGATTTGACATTGACTAATGTTATATACGAATGCATCAAAACTGAGTGTCGGTCATGTTAGCCCGGACGGACAGCATGCTTTTGTGTTTCTATTAGAATATGCTGTCCGTTATGACAGCCACTCTCGAAACTCAATGATCAAAAAAATGCGTTGAGTTTTTGTTTTTCGCCTGCATTTCGCGTTCAATTTGAAAAATTATTTTCCGTTTGGAAAATGCCCCATTTAAAAAATCTCACATCAAGAAAGATTGTTTGACATAGATTTCCATGTATTTTTTTATATATTTTTTCGTTAAATTTTATGGATTTTTTTTCTTTTCATTTATAAAATAAATTACATATTGTCTATTTATCTAATGCTCTAGGTTTTCACGAAATCGCTTAAGATTTGGCAGTTGAAACTTTTCAAGAAAAGAGTGGAGATTTCTTCGAAACTACCAGTTAATAATGCAAGTTTGTCGAGTGATAAATTGTTAGCGATGGTAATTTTCTTCTTTTTATTCTTCAAATTTTTATTATTTGTTCGATGGTTTCAATGTGTTTAGCATGTTTTTTGTTTTGTTTTACTGACTTTACAACATCGAAGGTGCAGTTTTTTCCATATTTTTTTTTACTATACACACAATTGTCTATTCTAACATCATTTACGGTTGTTTTTGTTTCTTTTGTTGTTCTTAAGCTTAAACAATAGATTTAAATCACATCCAAAATCAATATTCAACTTGTGGTCAAATGACTTTGAACCCAAAACGTTCATTCTCTCTTGAAAATCTCTCTTTCCTTTCTCATTTGAAGGTGTCAGCAGGCATTAGCACCATTAGCTCACCCTTTTCATTCGTCTTTAAATGTAATTCTTCTTCTTCTTCAAAATGAAATGAATTGAGAACAAAACAAAACCAGACGAAAATATTCGGTCATTTAAATAAATATTCCATTGAAACACAGCACGATTTAGCATTTGATGATTTCTATTCTCATCAAAAATCATACATACAGATTTTTGTTTTATCTTAACAAATAAACAACAAATACATATTTAAGGGTAGCGAAAAAAAGCATCTCTTTTTTCGCTAGTCCTATTATAAAACACACATTAAAAATTATCCAAAATCTAACATGTTTATTTGTGTGTTAATAATATTCACTTTCAATTCATTTCATTTTTCTTTATTGACGTGTAAATTCACGATTGGCTTTAGAGATTTTTGTTTTGGTGTATGTTTTGACTTTGTTCAATTTAGAGCTGTCTATTGCTTGTTCACTGTATTTCGGTTAGACATTCGTTTCATACTCACATCGCCCCAAAAAGGCAAGCGAACAATGCGCGCTCAGCATGCCCCCACTCTTCCTCAACATTTATGCTTTCTTCTCTATACAATATTTACTATTTACATAATCTCAAAAAATATTATTTTATTTTACATCAAAAACAAATGCATTCCACGCATCTCACATAAAATGTTTAACAAATGTTTATAATTATTATTTCAGCAAATTCTAGCAGGTTTTCTTCTTTTTAAATTTGTGTTTCGGTTAAGTGTTTTTTTTTTCATTCTTCTTGCTAAGCCTGTAAATGCGATTGGACTGAACTGTTCAATGGAGTTGTCTTATTGGATTTATTCAGAGCTTAAGAATCGCACTGAGTAGACGCTGCAAGTAACGCACACACTCACTTGAATGAAAGACGATAAATTCGTGTGCGCTGCTCGTCTCACGAAAATGAGTTTTTTTACGCACAGTACGTTATACGCACACCGCACACCGCACACCACACTATGTTCTGCTTCTTCTTCTTCTTGGTTTTGTTCGTATCTGCTATAGCGAAAAGAAGAAAAAGAAGAAGAAGCGGAAGACTGGTGAGTGAGTGAGGCGCACATGATTCTTTTAGATGAGTAGAATATCGCACAGAGCGCTGTGGCTCTAATTAAAATGAGTTGCACTGCGAACTGAGTGTGCGATTCTTATCCCCTGGATTTATTATGCAATTGTATGTTTTGAAGCATTGAAGCTTTTGGCAAAAAAATTGTTTTCTTCTTCTGTTATCTAGAAATTTGATAATTAAAATACCCTGACTTTTCCCTGACTATACACCGTGCAATAATATCAAAACTGTCGTGTGGGATTGGGGATACCATATGGAACGGGTATGCAGAAAAAAGGTGCTTTGCATAATATCTTTGTCGTCATTGTCATCGTCAACATGACGACACGATGGTTATATCAGGGTGGTGTTTTTGTTTTGCTTTGCATAGCTAGGGTAGTGGTGGTGGTGGTAGTGATGATGTTGGGGTTTATATCCGTTCATTTGAACATCTTCACAAGAGATTTAACAGTAGATAGGCAGTATGAAGTGTTTGAAAAGAAAATTGTTTCTAAAACATTTAATTAAGATAAATGGAGCTTGGAGAAATAGAGAATGAATGGGAGAACGTACAACTAAACCCCATCTAGCGGTATACTCTATGCGCTCTATGTTTGAGAGTACAATAGAGCGAGAGTATTTAGTTTAGGCCAATATTACATGAAACGTTCAACTGTCACAATATTAAGGTTTATGGCATTTTTCTGTCATCAATGTGCAGTAGGGTGTTTTCGGTATTAAATAAACAGAAAATGGTAGTTTTAGTTTGATAGAGCAGAATGTTCGGAATCAGTCCAAGATGCCACTTCCCATAAGCAAAACAAATGTTCGTCGAATTTTGAGGTTATATCACTATTCGCTGAAACTAATCTGATATTTTTCGATTCAATCTCACTGCCAGAGATGAATTCTCAATGCAAACATTTATTTTCACGTAATTTTCATTGGAAAAAGTGGCCAAATAGTCGAAAATTTACAAACATTCTATTGCCTCTTTGACCGGTTCCTCAATCATAGAAAAAACACCGACAAACTCATTTTTTTCACAGAAATTCATTCAATGGGTTTGAAATAGACGATAAACTATCTAAATCCACTAAAATATCCAATCGAACAAAACCAGGGAGGCCAAATTGCAGCAAAACCAAAACGTAAACAAAAACGAGCTGTTATCATGAAATCTGGGCTTCTTTGACATTTTGAAGGGCTTCCAATGCACTTGTGCGAATGAATCACAGTCAATTCGCACACAGTGATTCGCGCAGATGTATTTTGGTCTTGTCAAACATCAAACTAAGCCCGAATTTCATAATGACAGCTCGTTTTTGTTTACGTTTTGGTTTTGCTGCAATTTGGCCTTCCTGGTTTTGTTCGATTGGATTTTTCAGTGAATTTAGATAATTTATCGTCTATTTCAAACATATTGAATGAATTTCTGTGAAAAAAAATGAGTTTGTCGATGTTTTTTCTATGATTGAAGAACCGGTCAAAGAGGCAATAGAACTTGTGTGAATTTTCGACTATTTGGCCATTTATTTCAATGAAAATCACGTAAAAATAAATGTTTGCATTGAGAATTCATCTTTGGAAGTGAGATTAAATCGAAAAAAGTGGAAAATATCAGATTAGTTTCAGCGAATAGTGATATAACCTCAAAATTCGACGAACATTTGTTTTGCTTGTGGGAAGTGGCATCTTGGACTGATTCCGAACAAAAATATATGAAATCGATTCCAAATTCTCTGCTCTATCAAACTAAAACTACCGTTTTCTGTTTATTCAATACCGAAAACACCCTAATGTGCAGCCCACAATGATGGCACATCCATCTTAAATATTGTGTTTCGGTTGCTTTTTTTTCTTTTTCTTTTTTGTTAGTTTTTATCGAATAAATTATACGCTAATAATATCGTTGCTAAATGCATCTAAAAAGAGTTGTTCTGATTGCTTAAATGTTCTATATAATCTGTTCATTTTTAATTTTTCGTCTAATTCAAAATAAGCGCATTGAATATGAAAATTTGGCGTGCAAATCACGACTAATTTGGGTGAGAGACTAAACACGTATTATTATTTATTTTTTTCTCGTTGTTTTCTAAGGAAAATTGAATTCTATCATGTGGAATAAAAATGGTTGGCTGGGAGAATGAAGAAAATGAACTTGGAAGGAGTAATAATGGAAACAATTGTTGGCTGTGTGTTGTTTTGAAAGCACGCGGTTTTCTATTATGAATGCAAGCAAATCCACAGCACGAATTTATTATTCATGGAAATCTCTGTTGGGTTTTCGGGGGACGAGTAACAAAACAAAAAGAAGTGGCTAAATCAGCAACTGGATCTGTTAACTCTTTAGTCCATTCCGTTTTCAAGTCGAGCTAATTTGAAAATGTGGTTTCTGTCAATTTCAAGTATTTATCTTTCCCTTTCTCACGCTCGCGCGCTTTCCCCCGCTCGCTCGCGCCTCATTAATTATTTATTCATGTTCATTTTCAATTTCAATTTAGCACCAGCTCAACACAAATCAGTTTGGATTAAAAAGCGGAACTTTGAATATGCATTATACAAATATATCTATCTGAGATTGGTTGGTTTGTACACAAAGTTTCAATTGGGTCGCATCGCTTTCTAAATGTCGCACACACACATATATACATCCACTTTTTGGCTATGAACCCTCCAAAATGTAAGCACTTTAGAATTAAAATCGGGAGACATTGTTTTTGCCACCATGCCATGCTATGCCGCAATCACCATGAAATATAAAGTAGATGAAATGCGCCTAGAACCGTGTTTTAATAGTTGCCTATGACGACTGTGTACAAAATTGTGACCGTCCTTACTAATTCAGCGCTCCTTTTTGATTAAAAGGTTTTTTTTTCTTCGGAGTTGAATGCAATCACATACACGGTAAAGGCAACTTAAACGTATTTAAAGTACATCAATAAGCAGATGGTTTTCACCGTTTAAATCAAGCAAAGCGGCAATGACACAACGAAATGTTAATTCCATGGCATTTTCCCTTGTCGCTTCCATTAATTTTGTATGGGGTTTTTCCCAGTAATTTGCCTCATTCATTCGTTCGTTCGTTCATGTGTGTATGTTTTACAGCCGATGTGATTCTGTTCGAAGTGGGTACTTTGTAATATTTGAAATCATGTGCTGATTTCTCACGAACATCAAAGGGGATCTGAGTGGATTTTGCGGATTTTCATTCGGTGTTTAGTCACTGTGGATTTTATCCTCTTATGTTCCACACAAGCGAGTGATAATTTTCACGTTTGAAGAAAAAATATCTTGCTATTTATTCTGCTTCTTGTAAAAAAAAACTGCCTAGCATCTCTCACTTGACACTTCTAACAAAGAAAATATGATTCAATTGATCCTGACAACAATGAATAATGACTATATAATATTTTGTTTGTACGATTCTAAAAATACTACTATTGTTGTTGTTGTAAATCGTTGGAAATAGGCAAATGTACGAGTAATTACTATTTATTCAAAATGTGTGGCCTTTGGTTGCTGGAATATGTGTCACTGTCTTCTGTTCTATACATATCGTAAATAAATTCCCGGGTGATCGTTTACTCACTTACTCCCTCTCTCGGTGTGTTTTTTGAAAAGAAATGGAAAATTCATTTCCAGGCTGCCGGTATTTCAATATGCTCACAATAGATTCCTTAAAATGTAAAACGTTGACCTAATTGTAATGTTAATAGTTGTCTGCATTGCGTTTAAACAATGAGATGTGAAACATCGGTTGTGTATGCGGAAGTGTAGCGAGGCGGCGGTGGTTTTCGAAAGCCTTTATTGCTATCATTTTCGAATCGGCGATTACGTAAAACCGCATCTGTTTCACCTGGCCAGGCTCGTTCCGGTCCGCGTGGCTGTACTATCCGTGGATATCGATGATTATCAACAGCTAAGCTAATCGTGCCCGGATTCGATGTGCCCAAACCAACATTCATGCCAACATTGTACTGCCGTTGCATTGCCAATGATGCTCGTAGCGTTTTCCGTTTCTGTGCGATTCAATCAAATTGATTTGATTAGATTGATATGACAACGATTTCATCCATTAAACGAAGTGAAATGAAGTGAAGCATTTTTCAATTTACCTCAATCGTTCCTCTCCATTTATCGGCCGCATGCCTTGCCAGTTCGATTCGTTTTTGCTTTTTAATTTGATGCTTTTTATAGACTACTTCAATGATAATTAAGCAGATGCCTCCCACTATACCAGCTCCGACTATGGAAATAAATGAATATCAGTAAAATACTGCCCAATATACGATGCTGTTATATCACTACACACCTAAAATGAATACGCCCGCCATGTTTTTCAAACCAAGGGTGTTCGGTGTTTTCTCAAATTGCTCACAATTTTGTATATTCCCATGCAAGATCCATTCTTTGTCGAGGGACTCCATAAACCCACCTGTATTGGTAAGAAATGGAACGTAAATACGATTTTAAATAATCAATTTCAACCACTTCGACTCGATTTTCGTTTAAACTCACTCTCATGAAAATCCAGAATAGCTAACGTAACCGCATCCGTCCACGGTGAGCCCTTCTGTAAACCAATCCCGTAGCCACTACGACCAAATAGCTCACCAGCTGTTACTAATTCGCTAAAATGTTTGTGGAAAAAGTCCATTTTGTACATGAAAATGTTGACAATGATTATTATTATTATTATTATTATTGTTTTACCAATCTTTGGCTGCTTCATACTCCAAACGCGAAGAGTCCCATATAAATGCCATTAGTTTGCTACGCAAAACGAGAAGAAAGAAATGATTTCAAACCACGGTGAAATGTAATTGAAGGAACACTCAAGTATTTGGCCGTAATTGAATCAAGTTTGAAGTTTCCCAATCAAAATAATTGTGAAAGTTGTCCTTACTTTGATTTAACATCTTGGATGGCTTGTTCGGCTGTCTCGTAATTATTTGCTTCCATTGTACGGTACATGTTCGATAGTTCGACTTGTCGCTTAAAGTACATATCGACCGCTGAACCCTTAACCGTGGCACACGTTAGATTTTCCATTGTGTTACGCAAGCGAGCATCATTAATGCCGCTCAATTTCGTCTTCGGTCGCTCCAACACGAGGAAAGCAGCCAAGTTGGCAGTGTACGAGGCAACGATGACTGAAGTGGAACGAAAAAACGAAAAAACGAAAAACGCAACAATTTATTTTTTTCTATTCAATAAATTTGTTTTACAAAAATCCTTCGAAACTTACTCATCGCAAAACCCGCCCAAACCATACCGAGCACTCGAGCAGAGAAGCTTCGCGGAGTACCTTCACCTATGCCGCTGTTCAATAGAACTCCCCACGCAAACCTGTGTGTGAAGTGGTTGGTCGACACATTTGAAAAACATTTCGAAATTGTGATTTCAATCAGATGTCATTTATTTTTCGTACACAATCTGTTTGCCCAACTAAGTGGTTGGTTTTCCTTCTCTCTCCCTTCAAACTTCAAAATCACATTAATAACAAAAATCAATACGTACCAAATAGCCGAACTCAAATTCAGCGCATCTTCTTCGGTGTTATCGTTAGTCGTTAGCTTAAATCTACCGAATGGTGAAAATCTATCTAGTAAGTAAAGCACTAACGCTACAACATGGACTGATACCATGACCAAAATCCATAATGTATTGCTGAACGGCTGCAAGAACGATACGAGTGTACTTGATCGCGAGGGTTTCTTCTCCAAAATGGTGATTCCTTGGTATTTAAATGGTTTGGAAAATTCAATGAATTCGGCGCGTTCGGGATTTATTGTGAGCGGTGCCACAATCATATCGGCCCGTTCGCCAACTACTTCACCAATCAATCCCGTCCACACTTTTTTCACGCTCGATCCTTTTGACGATGTCACATTCTTCAAAACATAATGGCCAAACTGGCCGTCTGGCGACAGTGCTAGATCGTATGTGAAATTGATGCGGTTGGCAAGTGCTCGTAGTAAATCAATGCAATAGCCACGACAGCAGTAATCATTTGCAGCACCATTGGTTGCATTGAACAATGGACATGGGATTTCATCCTCTTCACATTTTGTCGACACATGCGATGCATCGTCAGCATTCAATTGACGCACATACACGAACGGTTTCTCCTCCAACGTAAGCACTTTCAAATGACGTGGTATTATTATGCCTTCAGGCTTTTTCGCCTCTTTGCCTGGCCACAAAATTTCGTTATCGCGCATCATAAGGTGCATTTTTTGCTTCTCCTATTTTCGAAAGTCAGTCAGATAGATCATCAGTGCAGGGAAATGACAGATGAGAAAAAACGAGAGCAAGAGGCCAAAGAATAAATGATGAGAAAATGAGAAACAAGTAAAGACCAAAAATAAATTGTGGAATTGCCATTGGCTTGCAACTGAATGTTCATTTTTCAATAAATCTGCTGGTTCAACTATGCTGGTAAACCAAATATTGATTTTTATGGTTTTGCGGTTTGCCGTATTTAGATTTTCTCTCTCTCAAGCCAAGGATAAACCAAAAATAACAACAAATTTGTGTGCATTGACGACGAATAAATCGTCGGCCAAATTGTGACTTACCGCATCGTACAGTAGCTTTCCAACGATTTTTTTACGCTGATGCTCTCTCACATTTATCACTTCATATTCAGCGAACATTCGATCACCATTATCGTCGAATGCCACCTGACCGGTTTCTCCGCGAATGTTGCGCGTTTTGACGTAATGAAATATGCGACGACCTAAATATTCCCATCCGAGTGAATAATGCAATGAAAGAAGAAGAAACAAAAATAAAACAACACCGACACATCAGACAAAAGCAGCCATCAAGCAAAAGGTAAAAACTTTTGTTTGGAAAATTGAATTTTTCCAAATTGAAAATGGTAGTTTAGTTATGTAATAAGAACTTTTTCATGCAACAACGCTTGCATACATAAAATTTGTTAGTCGTCGTCGGCGTCGTTGTCGTTTCGGGGCATTCAAGAACGATATACACAAATAGCATTCATCCTCGAACAACCAACAACAGCCATTCAAAATGTCTTTCCATTTTAATGAAATCCCATTTTGTCATCGTCTAGGTCATCGTTGTGACAGCCATTTACGTGAAAAAAGAAATGCATGATGATGAGAAATGAGACGACCTCGAACAATGCCATTTAGATGACAGTCGTCGCACCCGAAAAACTCGAAGAAAAGTGGTACCGAAAGGTGTCAAATAAAATAAAATAAATGATGCCACCTACCTGTCTCCCAAATTGTGCCCGAATCGTCGCAGTCCTTCGGTGCCACGGTTATTGTTTCGTTAATCATCATTTCTTTAATCGCAGCCGCCAGAACGTAGACACTATCCTGTAAAATGGAAATTGAATTTTACAAATATACCGAACCTGAACCGTATTTCATATTGGCTTGGTATCCCCTGTCTCATGCTTAAGCGATAAATATTCCCTTCAAAAAAATGGACACGCAAGCCAATCTCTGGTTTTCCATTTGCATATACTTTTATATGTGTATACTGACCCGTATGTGATTCTTTTCACTTTTGGCATGCACAAGTTGAAGCCCAATCACTCCATCTGGGGTGTTGTTTGCATTTAACGCTTGCTCGGTCACAATCCACACGTATCCGGATTCTGTCATATTTAAAGCGGCCGCATCACGGAATATCGTGTAGGAATCCTCTTTGCTGTGTGTGATACAAGATGAGATGAGATCAGATATACAATACATTAGATTACGGTCAATAATCGTCGAATCGCATGTGTATTCAAATGTGTCTGTGTGTTTGTGTGTGTGTGTGTGTGTGTGTGTGTGTGTGTGGCAAAGAATGACACCGAAATCACATTTTCAAGTGATTTGTGATCCAATGCATCGTTCGTGACAAAAGACTTAAATTGTAAAATTATGCCAAATAAATTGTCACTAACTATCGCCATCATTTCAATCCATGTCAACACACATCCGACACACGACACAGGGCACTGGACACAGACATACAGTAGCCGATAAAAAAAAGGTGCAAAATATTTCCATTCAAATTTCATTTCGGTATGGCACACAGATTGTAAAAAAGCCAACAAAGAGACGAATCAGAGGGAAAATATCGAAGACTTGCAAATCCTCTTACCTCGCATAAAGAAGATAGACACGAGATTGAGCCGCTTTCATTTCCATCAATTGTTCCGTAAAACTGTCCAATTTCGGTTCAAATTCAACAATGGATTCGACTGTTGCACGCACTTCAATGTCATCATAGTAGGTCTGTGAGGTCGTCTGAAACCGACCCAAAATGGCACGACCATCCGTATCCGAACTGTGTATTATAATGACCTGAAAGAAATGTGACAATTTTTTACCATTTTACTGATTGAGCAAACGATAATGTACGACAGCCAGAAGGAGAGGAAGATGAAGTGAGGAAAAAAAAGAGAGTGAGAGTGGACCGGGAAAATTCCAAAACGAAAGGAACGCATACAATAGCAAAGCAAAATTTCCACAACAGTCGTCGTATCATGCGGAAGGAAAAAAAAAGGAGCACCATTACGAAAGTATTCGATTTATTTAGAAACAAAAGGTCAAATTCATTACATTTTTGGGGCACACCGCCTGTCATTTCTTTCCTTTTCTTTGCTTCATTCCTTGCTATCGAGGTGAAAGCATGATACGACGACGACGACACACAGCCACTTTCACTGGTACGTTACTGTATTGATGATGTTTGAAAGTAAAAGTCATTTATTAGAATAGGACTGAGTTGAAAACAAAAACCTATTCTCCACATGAAAATGTGGACTATAAAAATTATTCGCCACGTTAGAGTGACAGAGAAAGAGAGAGAGAGAGAGAGAGAGAGAGAGGGAGAAAAAATCCAACAACAGTATTACAACGGACAGTGTCAGTTTCAATTTACTTGAAATGAAATAGAAATAATGAGAGAAAAAAACGGTGTAAACGTTCCGTTTTTTCCATGATGTGCACATGGGCAATAATGTGGCGTAAAGGCATAAATGGAAAATCAAAGGAAATAAAAAAACAAGAGGATGGGAACAACCAAAATATCTAAATATTCTCAAAAACTCAAAGTGCAAACACGTAAGAAATGAAAACAACCGAAAAAAATAACTCAATACCGAAGCAAGCAAACAAAATGTTCTTTGAAGAACAGAAGAAGAAGAAGTCGATGGAACCGAGAGAGTGAGAGTAAGAGTGAGGGAGGCAGGATTGATATATAGGTGGGGTAGGTTGAGTAAAAATGAAAGATGATACCAATAGCGGATGGAACAGCTGTAGGGAATGAATTGAAAGCGAAGCAGAAAAAATTGGGAAAGGACCAAAGAAGAATACCATAAAAGCAATGTTCGGCATCATTATTATTATTATTATCATTTTACCTTATTCCAGCCAAAATGGTCGAGCATTTCAAGCCACACATCGGCCTGATGATAGTACGGCGGTACGGTTCGAAGAAAGGATACATGAATATTCTTATCAGAGAATGCTGCGTCACGAGATGATATGCCTACCAGGAAAGATGCCAAAGTGAAATTTAATAATTACATGATATCATTTTAACAACAAGAAGTGATGCCTACCTATAACGGGTATTTGATAGAATCCTGATGTGTAACTAACAGCGGCTGGTGATAGTTCACCCGTTTCTTCGTGTGAAACGACCACGGCATAGACCTGAGTGTGTATCCAAGGCATATCCAGCAACCCGCGTCACAAACGGCCGAAAAAACAGTCGATCGAACCAATCATTTGCCAAGTGATTTACCAATTTCGATGATAAATTCAGACAGAAGAAAAAACAAACAAACCGATGACAAACAGGAAAACGTTTCGGATCGGATGGAGAGCAATATAAAACAAGACCGCAGAGCTTCGCTTCGCTCCGCTTTGCGTTCTTGAGTTTTTAGTTACTTAATCTATTTTGTTGTTTTACAACAAACTATTTTTTGGCGCACTACATGAAACGTATTTCATCAAAGTAACTTTGAAGTAATATATTTATTTGCAAAATGAATGACAAGTCCTTGGTTTTATTTCTTTGTTGAAATATACTGCCCTTGGTTTAAATTAAATAAATAATATGAGCTTAGAATCTAAAATCACTTCAATTCTGTCCAAGACTCAGAAAATATTATACGAAAAATTAATGTAATTTTTAAACAAAATTTGATAATAAAAATTTGATTGGCGCTTGGAGATATTGTGCACTTATTTGTTGTTAGTGCACCTGTTTTAAATTAAATAAAAAATATGAGCATAAAATTCAAATTCACCATAATTTGTTTCATCACTCAAAAAGTATTAAGAAGAAAAAGCAGATTAGTAGCTCTACATTTCAGGTAGTGCTAAAAATATAATAGAAACAAAAATGATTGGGTTAGCCGTTTTTTTCCTGTCATATTTTTTTTTCTGTTGGCTTATACATTTTTACGACTTTGTTTGTGCACAGCATCATTTATATGACGATACAGCGATAAAAACAACTGACAGCGCAAAGACTCCCTCTCCCCAAGTGTGTATAATGTGTATGGATGTATCTAAAATTGCCCCAATCCGGGAGATTGGCGAACAAAAACGACGAAAAATTGCTTAAACTAGCTTGAAGAGGCGAAATTTTTCATTTTTATGTTACGCTTCCGTCGTTATATTTTATGAAGCTCATTGACTTCACCGCTGAGTGTCAAACTCAAATTAATGTTTAACTTAATGTCAGAATAAATCGATAAATGTAGATCCACGATAAATGTAAGCATATAAATCTATGAGTAAACAAAATCGTGCTTGGCTTGTTGTTGATGCACAGCGTTGTTCATGATGATACAAATTAGGGAAACATTGAACGCTGATGAATATTGCCGGAGATGTTGAGCATACATATCGTTGTAGTTGTTTTGTTGCGCTCACATTCAAATACCGAAACGATCCGAGGCATTAAAATAATAGTGTAATTATTAAGATGTGACGCTCAGTAGATTTTTGAAACGAAGAGAAAGAGAGAGAATGAATGGAAAAAAGCCAACCGCAAGAACAACAAGAAAAACAACCAAAAATTGAATGTGTATCAAAAGCACCACGCACGCAATTCAGTGTTGATGGCTGCTGCTCTAATGAAAACCCGAAGTGGTAAAAGGCAATACGTGTTTGGTTGCATTGAACAACGTCACACAAATACTATGAGGATGTAAATGGTAATTAATTTTGTTTGAATTAAATGAATGAGTACATACATGACTACCGCCTTCAGCACATACACATTCGGTGGTACACAGTAACAAACATACGTTGTATTGTGTTGCGCTCTATTTTCGTTTAATTTTTTGTTCGATGGTGATGTATCGAAAACGAAAACGAGGCGACATGAGATAGAATATTTATGTACACATTGTAAATAAATTTTTGCACTGGCAACTAAAGCGAGTAGCGCCACGCTCTACAGTCACTCGCTCAGCTATTCCCGAGCCAGCTCGAGTGGATAAAGTGTTAGGCGACAGAACGAACAAACGAACGAAGGAGCGAGCGAGTGAACGAGCAAATGAGACAAACAACGGCCGCTTTTCGGAATGATCTGTGGCACTTTTGACAGTTCCATATAGTGGCATTTTGAAAGTAATAAAATAACAAAAAGAAACATGGAAATATGGAAAAATGGCCCGGAGCTTGTGATAATTATTCAGAAGGCAAATAGACACGAACCGAAAAACATTTTGCTTGTAAATAATGTTTCCCGTAACACATTTACCGGGCCTGATGTAATATTCATGTTGTGATTCAACGGTCAAAGTTGGAAGCGCGCACATTCATAAAACATTTTTCTAGATGCCATCACACACACCAAACCACACACGTTGCACGTATATGCCAAGTGTTTTTTTTTACTTTCTCTCTCTCTCTCTCTCTCCCTCCCTCTCTGTGTGTCGCTCTTTGGATGATTTGTAGCTTTTGTAAACACACAACAAACATCATCCGATGTAAAACTCGGTTGCTGCACCAAACTATAAAACAGATGGCGAGGGAAAGAAGAACCAGACGGAGAATTGGAATCAAGTTGGATTAGGGCAATATGTTGTGTGCGAAAATATGCAAATGTCCGAATGAACATTCGGCCGATATGCAATTGAGTTTTAATGAGGTGCCAAAAGTTTACAATTTCATTATTCAGTTAGAAACACACAGTTTTGTGCCTGGCTACTTATTCATTCACTTAGCTAAATGCCATTCCATTTCCGGCATTGGAAAAGATGGAAAAGGCAATGGTATGCTGATTGAACGGAAAACCAAAAGTATGACAGGCACTCGAGCATACCATCGGAAGCGAAATGCCTTGCAAAAATATGCGAAGCATGTAAAATTATGTAAAATATGACTCGTTCGCTCGTTCGTTCCCAAGTACAAAAGAAAACGAGCGCTTTTTTCTTCGCTTCATCATCTTTTTCTTTCCGGAGGGTGTGTATGAGTGTGTTTACGGTACTGCCAGATGTTTAGACTGAATATATTCAAATTCTCATGTGCGTTGTGAACTATTAGCAGTGCTTATTGTGGGCTAAGCCATTTTAATATGTTAAAACGATAAATGTAAAACTATTAATTTTAATATTGTTGAAGGCATAGTAGCTGGATAGCAATAGCGGGATGAGTAACATCGATCCCATAATGTTTGCGCCCAAATTCCTCGAAATATATTCTAACGAAATTTCCATGTTAATTAAGGGCGAGTGTGAGTGTGAGTGCGTGCCTCATCTATTACAAGATGAACAAAATGGTATTAATACGTATTAATGGTTCTTGAGATGGAAACACATCACGAAAATATTCGAATGAATGATGATACAGGGCGAGGCGCACGGAAGACAGTAGGAGTGAAAGAAAAATTGCCCGCCGCTTATATCCTTTGCAATGTTTCATTGGCGTCAGGAGAGCAACAAAAAGATTAAATCTAATTTCATAAATGTTCGCTGTCAGATGAATTCAGTTTGCTGGATGAATATTATTACAATAATAATAATTAATGTATGTATACTAAATATATAGACGTACCTTCTGCGAGATGAGCTGCTTGCACACATTCAGTGCCGTTCGAATTGGATTTCGGTCGATGCGAATCTTTTTGTCATAGTAAGTGTATCCCCGCGGCACATATGTTAGATCAAAGTTAAGATGCTGTTGTCGGCCATCATGTCAAGTAGGAGCCAGAAGCGGTGTAGTAGCAGCAGCATGAGAAGCATTAGGAAACAGCACACAGAACAGTTTTGTCGACGAGGTTGATTGTCCGTTCAATCGTTTTCCGATAAAATATGAAACAAAATTTTCAATAAATAATTTAATAATCAACAAGAACAGTTTTCATCGATGCAGGCGTGTGGATGCTGATGAAAGCTATCGTGTATGAAATGGTCTCCATCTCTCTCTCTGTCTCTCTCTTTCTCCCTGTCTCAGTGTGTATGTGCTTGTGTTTGTCGAAAATCACCATTCCGTTCGTTTAAAGTCAAGAATGCCAACATGAATTTCTCATCAGTTCCGCAGCCAAGGGGTGTGAGATGTGAAGTGATGTGATGTGATGTTTGACGCTGCACATAATGACGTGCAACTTTGTTAACGTTATTTATTGATTAATTTTCGGCTGCCACATGCCACACCATTCTGTTCCTCATCCATTCAATGTTCAAGCCCATTTAAATTGCTCCTCATCGCAAAATTGTGTGGCAAACATATGAAAATGTAGCGCAACGAGCGAATTCGATTAACTATTGACATTCAGTTGAAATTAAACTTTTAATTGGATTTGCAGCAGTTGTTTCGCAAAAATGCTGAAAGTACTGATGAATAGTGCGTGTCAGGGCAATTATTTATGCAAATTTGCTGTAAAGTGCACACACACACACTGCTGATAATCATGATGTAAATTGGGAATGTAGAAAAAACCGAGAGAGAGAGAGAGATGGGGACAGAGATAGAGCTGAAGAAGGGAATTTATCTAGATAAAGTAATAATACTCACCGCAATCGTATCACGAAAGTGGTCTTCGCTTTCGCTATTACTCAGCACACCGCCAATATTAAACTCGGTCGGATTATTGTCATTTCCCGTCGTCGGTTTTTGCATGACGGCTAATTTAATGTGCAGGAAAATGACGAAATGCAATAAAATATTTGCCAACGCCATATTGCTCTTTTACACACTCTTTTGCTCGCTGTTTCGGTTTTTCTTTGTCACACAAACACACATACACAGATGATATTCACACTGTCTTTTCAACACCGTTCCACAAAATACTATGGATGTATGTCAGACGAGAGAAAATACTTTTTACGCTCGTTTGCACCGTAAATTTACCGTGTTTAACTTGTGTAAATACTTTATATATCAAGTCACTAATTCAAATGTGAAAACTGTTAAACATTAATTCCTCTGGTGCGTTGCCGTCATGCTGAATTTTCAAATCATTTCCGTCACAATGGCTTTATGGCGCACTTTGCCCGCGGTAATGACGCTTTTTCTTTCGTCCACGTCACCTTATGTTTTAAAGGCTAACTTTGTAATAAACATTTAATAGCTTTTTATCTAATAAAAATAGTTAATTTCATTTACCACACTATTTAGATTAAATGTACCATTCACGAATTGTGTGGATGTGTATGTATGATATAATATATAAATATTCTATCCTTTTTCACTTTGGTGTTAGCACGTTTGTAAATTATTATTTTTTATGTGTTTTTTCCTTCAACACAGACACAAAATAACATAAATATATCTGTATGTGTGTATATATATTATATTTTTCTTTTTGTTCTGTTTTCAATGTAAGTATTTAATAATTTGAACAAATATTGGGCTTTTGTATTCGATATCCACAATTCCAAAGTGTGTTGAATTGGTGTTCGGAGCGATAATTATTTTCTACTGTTTATTCCATTTGCTTGGCTGTTTGATAATTGTTTGTGTTTATTTATTCATTGATTGAATTTAAACAATGATTGATTTTGACTATAGTTGTCACACATTCACATCGAACCGGATTGTAGATTGATTTAAATTGGTATTTGATTTGTAGAATATATATTATAAACAAACACTACGTTGTAATGATGATTGAATATAGTTGGATTTTCAATTTATTACTTTGATCAATTTATGTGTGTGTGTGAGTAGATTAAGCGCAACGTTTTCCTTACACTGACTAAAATATATGGATTTCGCTATATTTATGCTATAAATGGCTGCTTGTGTTAAGTGTAATCGGTTTCGATTCAAAAAAATTTCCTCTTTCGATCTCTCCCTTTCTCTTGTCTAAATTTGACAAAATCTAAAAAATAAACTCTCCTCTTTGTCTCGGTTATATCTTTTGTTGACTTTGTTTTTTTCTTCTTTTAAATAGATTTAATCACTACTAAATCAATGCAATGCAAATTCGTCTATTTAAATAAGTATTATTTTGGTTTAGTTAGTTTTGTTTTTAAAAAAAATCTCGTTCAAATGATGTTGGTTTATCTTCTTAGCTTATAAACTTTTTGTTAAATTTTATGTTTAATTATTATTAGTAATGTGGAGTAAAAGTTTCAAACGTTTTTTATTCTTTTCGTTAAGTTTAAATTTAAGTTTTACTTAGTAAGGTATATGTTGTTAACTTTTGTATGTAATTTTTCTTTTATTAATAATTATTTTTTTTCTTGTTATTAATCTGCGTAGGTTCACTTGATGTGGTAGCAAATCGATTTTATGGTGATGGAGTAGTTTGCACCAGTTTAATTGTTGTACGAGATGCAGAACGATGAGTGTAGAAGAAAAAAAAAGAAAGTTTAAGTCGTCTCACGATGTTCGTCGTTGTTCGTTCTGCCTTGGATTAAACTGGAATGGTAAACTTTTCTGTGTTGCAATTAAAGTTTGACGGCGGTGTTCACGGAAATTCTCGGTTCCGTTCAAAAATGGAAATTGGTACAATTTATTGAAATGCTGCTTGATTGAATTGAATTTCCTGTCGTTGTTATTCTCCTCTTTGCACTGATTTGTTTTTGTGTATATTTTGTGTGTGGCGTTGTGGGCACGTTGCGATTATGTTTGGAGTTGAGCGCGCGCGTACGTGAGTTTTGTTGATATTATTATAATAGATCGGGGGAGGCGATGTTTTTCAAATTTTCATTCAGCTCGGATATAAATTGCGATTGCATCCGGTATTGTTAAAATGTGATGCAGAAATGGCAGAAACCAGCATCCAAAACCAAACACATTAAATCAACTCAATTGAGTTCGACTTTCTTCCGCACTTGCTATCGCACACGCAGAAACATTAACACAAAAATATTGTCAAGTACGCTCTCGGGCTGTGTCAGTCTCTCTCACTTTTGCTCGCACGTTCGTTCGTTCGCTCGCTCGCTCGCTTGCGCACACTCACACTTTCGCGTTCCGTCGCGCGATACCACAACACAATTTAATGTAATTTATGTGATTGACATTCGTCCTGACACATTTTTGTTTGCACAATCAATCTCTTTTCTGGAATCGCTCTTATCGCTGCCGGTTCGCTGTATTTGAATGCATTTTTATGTGGTATGTTTGATGTTGCTGTTTCAGCTTCACTTCCAGCTATATTCATCCGATTTGATGCAATATAACACAATTTTATGTTTATTGAAGTGGATCGCTCAGCCTCGAGATGTGTCTGTATGCTTTTCTCTTTAAACGTTGCTCTGTTCCTCTTTCGCCTTTTTTTCTCCGTATTCCGTATTTGTTGTCTGCTTCAATTCGATTTTTGCGATTTAGTTATATTTGGATTTTATGTTCTTATGTTCGAAGCTATCTATCCATGGATAGCTTGCGGCAACGGGAAATTGCGAATGCAGTGTATTTGCTTTAACGACTTATCAATGCCGGTTGCATTTGAGAAATTTACATTTGATTTTACGTTGGATTTCCGCATACAGCGAACAAAACTTGAAGCGATTTGAATAATCGATTGAATGCTCTTCGTTCCGTTTCGTTCACTTCAATTTTCTTCTCGTCTTGTTTCCAATCGGATGTTGAGTGTGTATCGTCAATCTGAAATAGAGTCAGAGAAAAATATGAAGATAAGAATTTGGTTTTTGTCCAAAAATAAATTCCATTCACATTTTCAACTAAATTTTTTTCATTATGCAATATTCGGTTCAAAAGCATGCACACTTGATGTTGAAATAAAAATAAACATTCCGAGTGGTGGAGTGCAGAAAAAAACACAAATTTAAAATGCCAGGGATTTTCGCATGAAAGCCGTTTATTTGCTTCTTTTTTCTCTGTATCGCATTGATGATGATATATTTTTGATGCAAACAATACAAAGGGCTATTCATCAAAAATTCCAGGTCAGAAATTGTAGCGAAAAAAACTGCAGCACTTCATAATTGATGTGTTTGCCCAATGTAATTATCAGATCACGTATAATAAATTCGAATATCAGTAAGAGCCGGCAGCTATTTCGTAATAATTATTTATCATTTTTTAACAAAGGAAAATTAATTGCAAACAGAGTGCGTGGGGAGAGAGATGGAGTACTAGAGACATATTGAAACATTTTAAATGAATTCTTGCGTAAATTTTCAATGTCCAATCATTACTTAATGACTTTGAAAAAATGCGGATATTGCATCTACCAAATGAATGATACCCAACATTCGCGCCAAATATTTTACTTTTCGCATATTTTTATATGTCATTGTTGTTTTCGTTGTCGTTGCTGTTGAATAACAAACTCATTTTTCATTTATTCATCGCTTTCATTCATGTGTGAATATAACAGAAACTAGACACAATACCCAGAGCGAACAGAACGCTCATTTTATTTTAAAATGTGTACATATTTCAAAGGATATACACGTAAATGGAATTCCAATATAACACAAGTCATTGCGAAAAGCATAAGTCACACACACAACCTGAGACTATGCTCTTGCCTGCCCCACATGGCACAAAACAGCAATATGGCAAGCCCCAAATTCACGTAAGAATCAAGTCAAGACGAGAGAAATTGAAGCCGAACAAATAAAATGAAGAAAGAAAAAGAAAAAAAAGAAATATTTGAAAATGTACACGCGGCATACGCACTGAGGCACCGAATGAGGGAGGGAGAGAGAGCTAGATTGGCTCGGTGTCGCATTGAAAAAGAAAAGTGCGCTCTCATGGATGAGAAAGCTTTAAAAAAAAATGTATAATCACATTGACGTATTTTGATGTTATGCTATATATAATATATTCTCAATACATATTCATGCATTTTATTATTTCATATTTTGACATACGGGGAATAAAGTCTAAGTAATGCTGTTCGTGGAACGCGGAGCAGGATTATTTGAAATGAAAGTGAGAAAGTGTGATAAGTGGGGTAATGAATTTCGAGCGATCGGTTATTATTACGTTGTGGAAAATTCATGAGCACACATATGGAAAACGCTCTGTCTTTTCCCCCTCCCCGCGAACGGTGAATACAATTTTGCAGAGTGTCACACACACATTTATTGGATGACAGACTAAGAGTCATAAACAGTGGCATTTTATACAAATATGAGTATCCCTCCATTTAACCTGTCAGAAATTCAATTTATTTATTTTCGATTCAATGAATAAATGTATGTGGGAAATGTTAAATCACTTTATTTTGTCTGAATCAATGAAATGGCAACGTAATTTTTCCATTCATTAATTTTAATGAAGTACGCGATAGAATCGTTTTTTTTTTCATCACATCGCCGTCACTTGATCTGACAAATCAACTGTTTAAACAGGAAAAAAACACATCATTCTAATTTTTTTGCATGTAAAAAGAATATGTGCCGTTTCAATCCGTTTGGCCTAGTGGTTACATGGAGGCACGCCGAATGAAGTGTTTGCCGTCGCCACTGCCATCGTTTGAATATAAAATACAGAAGCTTAACCAAGCAACTGGAACTGAATTGTAACTTCGAATTAAGTTCTAACTCAAGCGCTAAAGAATTTCCAATTAATTCAATTAAAATTTTGAATTAGCAAAGTTTGGTGTGTATGTGTGTAAATTAGGCTGTCGCCTGAATACAAACAGAATATTACACCACTTCATGTAAAATGCATTAAAATTTTCAACAAGTACTCTCATTGTTTTTGTCAACTTCATCATCGTAGCTGTCGCCGTCGTCGTCGTCATCACAATTCGTATTCAATTTCAATGGATAAACGTGCTGTTGTCGTACTGTCATCATCACCACCGCCGTCAGCATGACGATTTTGGTCGACTATCAAAGGAAACAATAAGGAATTTAAAGATCATTTTGGCACAAAGGCATAAAAACAGAGAAACAAGTGCAAAAAACGATTGCCTCTGTCGCCTCGCCGAACGGGAACAGTAACAATAAAAGATTTCGCTTTGACAATTCTTGCACATTTGAACAATTTCGAGGGGCGACAAACAAAGCCAAACGACAATAAACGAAGAGAAAAAATGTACTCATCCAAATACAATTAGAAATGAGCACAACCGAACGGGAATGATGGAGAAGCTTGGAGGGAAAAAAAATGGTGTGCACTTAGTAGAAAAGCACGGTTTTTATGTGTTCTGTGTGTGCAACAAGAATTCCAAGCGAAATTGATGAATAGAGTAATGAATGGGCACTATTGTGAATACCATCCATGGAACAGCAAACAACATTTAATTATATCAGTTCGGAAATTTTCTTCGAGCAGCTGCTACTTTTTTTTTCTTCTGGTATGGTATTTTGAAGCTGTCACCATTTGAATACACATTCACCATGGTTAATTTTAGACACTGAGCTAGTCTATTTACAATTTAAAACATGAAACTATTCTGCACACAGCCAATGGCTTCGCTGTACTAAATAGAATGTTTTTGCATTGCAAATAAGCCCAAAATACCAAAAATCTATTTTCCCATCCATGTACGTACGTGGCAAATACATATCGTTTTTGCATTTAGATGATAGCCAAATAGATGTGACACACCAAAAAAGGGAATTGCATCAAAATGGCACTAGCAAGCATCTGGATTCCAATGAAGAATGGTCCGAAATATTTAAAATATGAAAAGGATGTACCGACCCAGTAGGGCTTTATAAAACAGAATAATGTGTTTATTATGATGCGGCGAGTTATTTGGGCCTCACTTGGGAAAACGTTTTTGAATCAAATTTGTCGATATCCACACACACATACACATAAACAACGGGAATGGTGTATGATATGCCAAACAATATATAAAATACAGCCAGCGAAATTGGAAACTGTGCGGGCACACACGTGAGTGTAAAAAGAGAATTTCGCTCGCTCGTAGCGCTGAATTTACTGCAATAAAAATGCTAACAAAACTTTTAGTTAGTTTAATAAATTCCATTTTCCCGGCCGTCTATTTTGCAAGCGTGATATTGCAAATTTTGTTCATAAATTTATTCTTCACTTCAAATTCATTGTTGTTGGTATTTTCCTGAACTGCGTCGGTTGTAATGGTATCTCTTTTGCAGTGGAAAAAGGCTGTTTTGTTTCTGATTTTTGCCATATCTTGTTGCCAAACACCATCATCCCTTGTGTAAAATTAAACTTGAATAAAATATGTGGTTTGCGAGTCGCAGGCCATGCATATAACAATTGCACGAAAAACAGGAAAGAAACAGCAACAACAACCAAAAATACGCATTCAAAAAATTGAATGAAATGAAATGAATGGAACTAGAAATGGCAATTGCCAACAAAATCCAGGAAACAATCAGCATTTTGTCAAAGAAGCAACTCTTGCGCAAGATTGCCCGCATCAAGATCCACCATCCATCTCTCTCTCAACGTCTTCAGTTTATGAACTTGAGATGAAATCACATAAAATCATCAATTTTTTTTGTCGTCCCACAGCATTTACGTACGTACGCACGCTGTGTGTGTGTATGTTGGTGGAATTGCCCCTTATTTGATACACATGATATATATTAAATTCCCTGCTTTCATGTCTCAGTCGTATCGTTTATTATGCGAATCAACATCATTGTACGAGCAAAATATATGCATCCCATAACAATGTTGCTATCGCTCGACTGAAATATAATCGTAATAATGAAATACAATAAAAAAAAAACAACGAGAACTTAACAAACGCTTCGTTTGAGGATAGAGAAGGAAAAAAAACAACAACATCAACAGTACAGTATGACAGAAAAGAGTACTGGGAGAAAAATGTGGAGGTGAAAGAGCAAAAAACGAACAAATTGGGGGATACTAGACTGGTACGAAATAATAATAACCATATCGATAAATTTGGAAAACAAAACCCATCAATTTCGATGACGTAATCCCTATAATGATCCGATTATATTGTCGTATTGACATTTAAATCTGGTTGCTAGATTGGACTCAGTGCTTAGAAATGCGTGTGCGTCTTGTTTGTCTTCTCTCAAGTATTTATGGCTTTACAAAGTTGGAGAATCTCTTCGCCCCACGTATACATCGAATTCCTTGGTAGGCAGAATAAAAATGCCGAATGGGAGAGAGAAAAAAAATGTAAGCAGATACAAGACGCAACGAGAAAAATATTCACAAGAGATGATTCTCATTTCGAGATCGACGTAGACTTGGCCTGGCCCGGTCTGTAAAAGTAACTGCCGTACATTTTGAGAGAATACTTAACGACATCACAAACAACTAACGCAGTACCAAGCGTGAACACCAGTGAAAAGCACTAAATGTGATTTTATTGACATACTGCTTAATGTACGTTCAACGACAACGCATCCATTACCGAATCCAATCGATCCGAATCAATGCCCGCCGAAAGTTCCGCACATTAGAGTGAAAAAAATCAATCTATTTACGTCCGATGTACCATGGCCATATTCCATCTTCTTAATTTTCGTCGATTTTTCTCCCTTTCCCCATCTCTCTTCTCACTTGCTTTCTCCTTCACTCTATTTTCGGCGCTTCAGCATATTTATCGGCCCACAGTCATGTTCATTTGCGTCATGCAAAGCGTTCAAGATTGATGAATTTCTGGAATTACTGAGTAAGAGACTCACTCTCTTAACGTTTCAAATACAAAA